GGAGGGGTGATCTCGTGCAGTGCTTACTGACGTAGAATGTGAGTTGCCGTATCGTGTAACGCTGATGGAAGCTCTCGAGTCCGTGGAAGCGGACGGTGATGATGTAGTAACTGTAGTCGAGGAAGCCGAGGTGGGCGACCACCAGCTCCTCGCAGGATTGCCTCTCGCACTTCAGATGTCTCGTTCTAGAGGGGAGTTCGAGAAAGCAAAAGAGAAATATACGTTACGTGCGCTTCTCGCGTTGTTCCATTAACGAGACTCGAGATAAGAAGCGATACGAAGTAGTAAGCTCTCACCGATTATGGCCGGCTTCCGGCGGTAGCACAGGTACGAGCTTGCGGTCGGGAGTGATGCCGTCTATAGAGACGCTGACTTGAAACCCCTTGTCGTATCTTTCATCTGCAAACCGTGTAATTAACATTCTGATGTAATAATAATAGAAGTTAAGGTAGAAGTAAAATGATCGAAAATGGAATTGTAAAACTGACAAATTATTATGAATAAAATTATGTAATTAAAGATTATAGACAACAAAATTGTAGAAATTGTAATTATTATAAGTGAAATTATATTGAATTAAAAGTGGTGAAATTATAATTGATAAATTTATAGAAATTAAAATTGTAGAAAATAGATTAAAAAGATAAAAATTCTAGAAATAATCATTATAGAAGGTGGACAATTCGTAAAATTATATGAAATAGACCCGGTACATGTGAGTATTGTGCGATAGGGAAACGCCATTAGGAAAAATTCGATATTCGATATTCGATTACCATCGTTGTTCGATGTCGATAACTTGGCAATCACCCACAACTGTTGGCTGTATGTGGACAACAGAGGTGTTTTCATAATAAACGGACCGGTGGCCATCTCGCTACCATTAAGATGCGCTTTCTGTTCGCTGGTTGATGTTATAGGCGGCCCTGTGAAGCGTTAATGAATTCACGATCTGATATTTTAGGCTCTCACGGTGTGGAGAAATGCTTAATTATACAATAATATGCAGTAATTACATGCAATTATGATACGCAATAATTCTACTGTAGTGTTTATTGTTATTTCGTATCTGTGTATGTATGTGTGTGTGTGTGTGTGTGTGTGTGCGCGTGCGTGTGATTAAAAATAGCGCCATCGATATTCGGTCGAAAAGTTAATATCGAATCGAAAAATAGCATAGTTGTGAGAAAGTCGTGGGAGCGGTTTAATTTCACGAAATAACCGTCGTTACTCACCGGCGAGGCCGATAAATACCGCCAGTCCGAAGCACGCGAAGAATGCGACGAACACCATGACGAATTCCCTCTTGTGCATCGAGTACAGGCGCATTTGTACAGATCTGCACGGCAGAACGTATCGTGTTTGGTTGACATTTCGCACACATCGCGTCCGCTGCGCGTTCGGTCGAGAAATAAATGAATAAATGCGTTCTTATCTTCTCGCGCGCGCGCTTTTCTCAGATGATCGGAGTTCCGCGCTGAGAAAAAAGTCCTTAAAAATTTATTCGCGGAATATAAGGTTTATTTCATCGAAGCGAGCCTCATTTCTGTGAAACTTCTGTTATCTTTATTTCTCCGTGAAATAAACCTCATATTCAACGCATAAATTTCAAATATTAAAAAAACAAATAATTTTTAGATATTTTTTCTCAGTGTGCGATCTAGCAAATTGTACAAAATGAATTCGAACAGAAGATGCTTCTTCTCATTTCAAGAGAACTTTTCCGTCGCGCGGACAAATTATCGTCCGAAGAAGTGACTTCCTGCGACATCGACGGCTTCGTTTACGTATCCTTCGTCAAGTGACCTTCATCGAAGTCCTATTGAGCTAATCGACGATTTAAAATTACCGTGAGTCAAATGTTACGCGCTTCATCTTGCCAATACAGGTGGAGATTCTGAACTTCTCGATTGTTGTTCAACGACAAGTTACAGAACTGGAAGTTGGTGCTAGCAATCCTTATTATTAATCCTCGAACTTAGCTTAATTGGAGTTTGCTTTGAAAGTCATTCACACGTACGAATAACCTCCCGGCAGTTGACGTACCTCTCGCAGCGATCATGATGGTAAGCCGGCGCGATGTATTTATTAAATTCGCTGAACAGATCGCTGAACTGCGACAGCGCATTTCTAACCTTGAGATTCCAACCAGCAGACGGGAGGTGATACGAATATCCTAATCCAGACCCGTCCATCATCTTCAGGATTCTGAACAGGAAGCGCCTTTAATATACCTGATTACACTTTGCACTTATATTTCGCGTAATCGTCATATATAATTTTACATCATATAAATATACATATACATATAAAATTATTAATACTTTTCTTTACACGAGGAGAGAGGCTCCCCCTTTCGCAGAAATTCACGTCCACATTTACTTACACTTCGCCGTGTACAAATACTAACAGCTGCGTTTAACTGGTAATCCCGAAACGCCTTATATAAATCTGAGCTCATCACTTCTTAAAAGGACAATCTTACCCTCTACTTCACTTATTCGTGTAATATATTGAGATACACACAGCAACTCGTTCGACTCGTATCCGTGCATACCCGTAACGGACAGCTCGTTTTTCTCAATCAAAAGTTACCACCCCAACCACGACTCAATTATCAATCGCGACTACGACGTACGCTCGGATTTCTTGCGTGCATTAGGTGCATGTAAACAGAGAGAGAGAGAAGGAGAAAGAGAGACTCACGTTCTATTTTACTGCGTGGTAACAATAGACGCTACTTCAGTCCGCACCCTCGACGAACGCCGCCCCGCCGCATAACGTTCAAGATTCATGAGCGACTCCACGCGGGCGAGGTGGTGCGCTGGCGGGCACATGTAAGGGAGGAAAATCCGACGCAGCGTTTCGCGTTCCTCGCTCGCGACGCGAGGAAAATACGAGAGACGACTGCACGGGGGGGAACACAGGAGCGCGGCGAACACGTCGAGCATCGTGGCGCGCAGCTATTGATTTTTCCGCCCGCCGTACACGAGAGAGCGGCGGATTTGCTCGCCGGCCGAAGGGGGGTTGGAAGTGACATGCACGACGCGCAGCGACGCGGTATTTATATCGACATTATTATTGTACATCGACAGCTTGGGTATGTATGTGTTTTGCACAATTTTCTCGAGACAGCCGGAGCTCGGATCTCGCATGCCCAGATAAAACAAGAGTGGATAGATTCGAGTCGGTTTCGCTGGAACGGAGGATCTACGACGCAGGAAGAAGAGGCTTGAGAAGCGAGCAGAAGGCTCCGGTTGAAAATAATCTTATGATTTATGTGATGTAAAAGACACTCGTAGTTTATATTTTTGTTTTTTTTTTACAACATCCGTATCGTCCTCTTCCGATGACACGTCAAATATGTACACAGCGCCGGCCGAATTTTAATCCCAATACTTGATCTTGCCGTCCCATCCGGCCGTGGCGAGTCTGGACGGCTCGTGTGGATGCCACAGCACGTCGATGCACACACCGTCATGCGCCTTCCACTTTTTGTACAATTTCGTCGTCTTCCAGTCCCAAATGTAACACTTGCCGTCAGCGTCGCCCGATACCAAATAGCTGGAAGCGGGAGATTCGGATTAATAGAGCGAAATGGAACGATATCCGGTCTAATTTAGCAGCTTGATCTTAATATTCTCACTCTCGGTACGCAGTAAAAAATTGTATGTCAAGTTTAACATAAAATATACATATACTGAGATATAAACACATGGTTATGTCAAAAATTTTACACAAACAAGAATCTATTTTAACGTAAATGCAAAATATTTCTTTGCAGCGTAATTTGATCGTTCAGTTTTCCCGAACATATAATCTACCTCATATCTGGAGAGAAGTCCAAGCCACACGCGTACCCGGCGACCATGTGCCCCGTGAAGGTCTTCTTCCGATTCATCTTGAATCGATTCAGTGCCGAGAATATGACGATTTTGTTATCCATACTCTGGCAGGCGAGCCACTTCTGGTTGCGGGACGGCGTTACAGCCGGCATCGAATGCATCGACGGATCGGCGATGTATTTCATATCGACTGGGATGTCCCTGTACGGAAAAAGGATTCGTTGTTAGCAACAACGGATCAATCTTACAGCGCGAATTTGAGAATGTAAAACAAGTCTTACCACTCCCAGACGCGAAGGCTCTTGTCGTCCGACGTGGTCACGAATCTCCGGTTCTCGTCCACAAACGTGATGGTGTTCACGGCGCCCAAATGCCTGTCGTATTCCTGCGTTATCTCGCCGGAACGTATATCCCACTGTAACGCCGAGTTATCGCTCAATATTTCCGTGAATTTTTATCAAACCAGCCACGTTTCACAGGCTCATGCAATCCCGTATATTGTGTATATTGTGTGTAGAAGAAAAAACAAGCGCTAGATTCAAGTGAATAATTCTTAGCAAATTTTTACTTGGATTAAGTGAACATGCAGATCGCACGATACTTACACAAATGATTTTCTTATCACTGGTGCCGGCCACGAAGAGATGCTGCTTATCTGGATCGGGATTAAACTTGGCGCAGTACGGGATCTTCCTGCTCGTGAAGCGACTGATGCAAGCTCCCGTTTCCGTGTCCCACAGCTTCACGTAGCGGTCATACGCCGCGGATAAGAATCGCTTGCCGTCGTTGTCGAAGCTTATATCGCGCACCGCCTGACGGTGCCCGTAATACGTACGGACGCACCTCCTGTCTTTGTACACCTCCCACAACTGCGCACGATCGGATATTTTAGCATGTGAAATTTAGAGACGTGCAATTTTAAGAAACAGTCAACATAAGTTAAGATTCGTCGGCGTTGTGCGACGCACAAGGCGAATTACCTTCACCCTACAGTCCATACTGCAAGATAACAATAAATGCGCGGTGCGAGGAAACCAGCGGATCTGCGAGATGCCCTTCGTGTGGCCCTCCCACGTGTGGATCTGCGCCTTCGGCAAGAAGCAGCGGTCGGGTGGCGATTCCGATCTGAGATTTACACCGACGTCCTGCGGCGCGTGCAGGAACGAACGTCCCTGATAATCCACACTGTCTTTGACTGCAATGAGAACATTGTATCACCAACAAATCTCGTGTTTCTACAAGATTTCTCGGAACTTCTTAGAAGCTTCTTAAAAGAAACTTCCTAAAGATATCATTTCATTATTAAGAAATGTGTGTGTGTGTGTGTGTATGCGTGTGATAAGTATTTTTATATGATGAATAAATGTATGACATACATATTTTAGAAACTGGCTTTGCGTTAACCTGTTGAATATATGAGAAAAGGTCTTACTATGTAACACGGTTTTCTCTTCCAGAGGCTTCTCCTCCGTCTGCTTGCCCCGTTTGTTCCTTTTCGCCAATATTTCCTCCAACTCTGCGGCTTCCTCCTCGCTTGGCTTCACTACTCGCTTCTCGTCTATATATCCACCCCATGGTCCCAGGAAACCTTCTATATCGGCGGGATTGTTGTTCCTGTGCCGCTTCCTTTTGTCCGACGGTCTCAGCACAGTATTCTCAAAGACAGTCTTGCCGCCAGATTCTTCCGCTGCTTCTTTCGCGCCGATTATGACCTTACCCTCGTCAGCGCTGCCGTCCACAGTTGGATCTAGCGCGTATCCTAAAGGCAAAACCATATTTGGATGTTTTAAGTATCGACAAATTCACCAAACCATAGTGAATTCTATCAACGCGTTGAATGCCGCGCTGATTTTCATTAATGGCACGAACATTTAACTGACAACTACATCAGTAAAGATACAGTAAATAAATATATTAGGTTGTTGCCGGTGAAATGGTTAAAATAAAATAAACTCTACTCTGTGCTCAACAAGATGTATTAATATCTGAATATTCAATGTGTTAATTTAAGTTGTAGAAATTATATATATTCGAAGGAAATGGAAAAAAAAGTATTTTTCTGTTGTATATATGGTATGTAAAATACATATATATATATATATATATATATATATATATATATATATTACCATAACTAGCGAACGTTCTCCTCTGGTTTTCAAATTGGAATTCGCTGATGTGCGCACGTTCCACGTATCCAGAGAGCATATTTTTTATTGCACGCTGCTGTTGCGTCTTGAACGGGTTCTCTGGTCCCACGTCTGGCGTAAAGAGTTCCTCATACTTAGGATTGTGCAGAACTTCCTTCGTCGTGGAATCCACATGCCTAACGCACAATTCTGTTCCCTGTAATAGTAGCCGGAAACGAAAGAATTAAGATTAACGCAGGAATGCTGTGTATAGTGTACGTAGAGAAAAATCTATCCAGCTAGTCTGTCCATATTCACGATTTCTCGCGGACGGGACGAATAATGTGCGGTCGGATACTTACGGTGGGCACAACTTCGGGCGCAGAACATATCTGCAAGTTGAGGGGAGTGGTCAATTTGTCAACGGCAAACGGTTTGGGTGTGTGATCGGCGTCCGAGCTGCGCTTAACCTCTTCATCTTCGACATTCGCGGAAATTCTTTCACTCTCGGGTTCGCTACCCTCGTCACTGCTACCGTAATCCTTTAGCGCGAGCATGACGGTGTCAAGCAATCGCGAGCGTGACATGATATACGGCGCACTGATCTGTCACGTTATAGAGGTCCCGGGTTCGATTCCCGGCAGAACCAGAAAATTATCATACGTTCGTAGCTCCTCTTCCGGTGGTCTGGCAAACCATCAAAGAGTATCGAAGCCACGAGAACTTTTCCGGAGCTAAACTGTAAGTCCCGTATGCATGTGTGTAATCTGCACTTTCTATGTGCCAGAGTGAGTTTAGTCAGTCGATGCCGTTGAGTATTACTACTTAAACAATGGTTGCGTTCAGCGAACGCAACAGTTGCACAACGATTGAGTAATTCGTCAACATAATTGGTTTAAATTTAAGGATCTAACAGCAAAGACCAACGACTGCTCGCTGATTGTTTATGTTTTTTGAACGCAGCCACTAACGAGGCCTTCGGAGTTGTCTAATCGTAAAAGAGAACTTAAAAACGAAAACGTCTTCCGGTTTGTCGTTGAAACGTGGAATTCGAGAATAAAAAGGACGTTCGACTGGTCGTTTCGTTGTACTTCTTGAAAATATACTTTTTTTTTTTTTTCATTCGCTAATGAGAATCGCAAAGATCGTAGATAAAAATACGCCGGACTTGTCGTCGAGTTGTACTACTACCTGTGGGCTATCGAAGCCCGTGTCCATCCTCTCGGACGGAGTGTCGTTGGGAACTGCGTCTCATCCATCCGTCGGAGGTGGTAATAAGAGAAAGAAGAAGGGAAATTTCGTATGGTGTAATCGACACATGTGATATGATTCTCGAGTCATTTCCGCCCGCTGAAAGTAAAGCTGCCGAAGGCAATTACCAGGTTACCTGAGTTACTCGAGTTGTCGCGCTTCGATTGACGTCGACCTAACCTAGTTCATGCCCGAGGATGTCGTCGGGAATCGCGCGTTCCTCGAGTTAGGTCACGAGAAGTGCGACGGGAGAAGGGGACGAAAAGTCGAGAAAGTGCCATTGTGTTCCCCGATAGGGGCGATACCCCTGTGTTCGTGCGTGCGGAAAGAGCAAGCCCGAAGAAAAGATACCTAAGATCGGAGGTATAGGTTAGGTCAGGTTAGCTCACGTATCCGCGGACAGATCCCCCAAGTATGTCAAATAAGGAGTCGGAGGACGAGGTGCAGATAATATCCGAGAAATTGCAGGCCGCCACGACGCTCGATCCGCCGGCGCACAACAACGCGCAGCAGGCAGCCTGCAGGGGCTCCCGGAAATCCGTCAACAATGGCTCGTCGCCGTGCCAGCCGGTGGTGGACGACAAGAAGGTCTCTTGCGTTGCCGCCGGCGGGGACTTCCACGTGGTGACGAGGAACCTGCCTGAGCTCAATCTGCCGGAGAAGATCCTCATCGTCATCGACACGGTGAGGGAGCAGCAGTGCACACCCTTCAAGCTCGGCACCGGGGCCACGTACTCGCCGCTCTACATGATCAAGCGCGCGGTCGAGAGCTTCGTCCACGCCAAGTCGACCATCCAGATGAGCCATGAGTTCGCGCTGATGACCGTCGACGCGCGGAGCATACACTGGCTCTGCGACTACACCAGCGACATCAGGACGGTGCTGGTCCATCTGGACGGCGTGAGCGAGGACGTGGTGGACGAGGAGCAGCGGATCTACGACCTGGACCAGCTGTTCGAGGCGATCTACACGCGGATCACGATACCGACGACGAGGGAGCAGAGCGCGCCGGCCGCGCCCACCTTCACCTCACGCGTCATCCTCATCTACGGACGCTCCAACTCGATCCCCAAGTTCCACAACGGCCGGAAATACCTTTACGACCTCACCGATAACCCGTACTTTTTCCTGGACGTGCTGTTCGTGCACGAGCCACCCGGGGAGGACAACAGGTGCGAGGAGGTGTACGCCGAGATCACCACGTTGGACACGACGAACCTGTCGTACATCCTGGAGGTCGGCCGGAACGCCGCCAACATACACAACAACATGGCCAAGCTGTTGGCCCATCCGCTGCAGCGACCGTTGCAGAACGACGCCTCCTACACGCTCTACTCAACCCAGGCCGCTCAGGAAGCGCACACCAACGTGTAGTGATCGATGGCTGACCGGTTTCTCGCGAGCGACACTTTCGTCCCCGAGGCGTGTCTCGTCGTGCCGCTTCGAGCCCGCGTCGGATCGGACGTTGGGGACTGCGGTTGGAGATCAGGACTCGACGAACCGTGTCGAACCGCGCGATAAGAACTAGTAATTTTCTATCGAATCATCTGTAATGCGTGTAAACGTGGGCAGAACTGACGGCATGGGGGAAAACGTTGCGTCAATCTAAATTCAGATTTCGGCTGTCGGGAGAAAAACAGTGATGTGTTCAGATTAGATTCAACAATGTTGTTGAATCGGGAAGATTGACTCCAATTATACGACGCTGTTCGACCAATTCGATCGATGCAACAGCTTTTTTCCCCGTACGTCTTTGTCGCAAAAGTGGGATATCGGTTTAGTATACTGCTGTTTGCACGCATTACCGAAGTAAATGCATTGTTGGAGATCAAGGATGAGCGGGAGCTTGGTCTTTAATTTACTGGTTAATTTCTGGCTTAGACTTAACCTGATGATGATGTAATAATTATGTTTTTCTATTCATAGTTAATCGTCACATTTTAAGAGACTTACCGTTTACAAAATTATCACTTTAATGATCAACCGTAAATAGAAAAACACAATGTTTGCATCATCATCGTCATCAGTTTAAATCCGAGTCACAAGTTGACCGGAAAATGGAAGATCGAGAGCCTAGAAGTCAATAAGTTGCTTAATTTCGATCTTGACTCACCTTCCGCAATCCTCGATTTTCAACACTCGATCTGGTCTTCGATATCGGCTCGTTTGAGCCTCGGGAATTGGACAAGTTCCAATCTTCAATTTTCAACACTTACTTTGATACAGACTACACGGAAGATCAACGCGCTCGTTATCGTCCCGTAATTTCGTTTTGATGTCCACCAGTACGAAAACAACCGTCCATTGTCGTCCGAGTTATCGACAGGAACGAATAAAAATTTTGTGCCACACCGTTCGTAAAGTAAGTCTCGCGAGCGAATCGAGCGCGTGAGGTCTCATAGTGGCTCGAGTCTAAAGTTTCAATAATTTCAGATCGCGCACATTGCGACGAGGCGGAGTATCATTCGCTTTGCTGAGCTCAGTGCTTCGCAGAACGACCGTTCGACACGCGTAGCAACTAGTAATCTCGTACTAAATCCTTGTTTCGGCCTCGTAAACGACAACCGTGTGGAACCGATCACTAGTCTTCTTCATGCATTCTAGTTTTAAAGGTTCGGAGAGAATTGGTTTCTTGAATTTTCGTGCTGCTCTTTTCGGCTTCTTTCTGTGGAAAGATCGGTTGAATTAACGGATCGAGCGCGTTTCGGCCGTTCGGGAATTTTCACGAGCCAAATGCTGTTTTCATTCTATTTTAACCTTTATTTTTTTTTTGCGATAATTGTTGTTTCGTACTTCCTTGCGCTCGAGGGGAATTGTCCCACCAGTGCACGGAAACGCACTTATTCATTTTTGTTCTCTCTCTCTCTCTCTCCATGTGTGTCCCCCGCAGGAATCGCGTGTCCACTGTCTCGGCTGCTCTTACACCGCACTGCAGCATCGTCCACCAGGTCACGTCATTTGTACTACGTCGTCCGCTCGAGCGGCTGTCGCTAAAGCTCGTCTTGCACGCTTCGGGCCTTCGCAGAATGACCGACTTATCAATCGAAGAGGATATTTTATACCTCAGCTCTTTGTCTCTAAGTAACGCACAATGACTGTCTTGTGTCTTAAACCAAAAACACCGTTCCGTCGTGAGGGGAAATAAATAAATTTAATCAATAAATAAATTCGGATAAAGATTGGGGGGGGGGGCATAAAATATCGTCTGGAAATTGCAAGTCAATCCTTCTGCTTACGCTCTTTCGTGCTGAAAGCGTCGTTCTATCTTCACTTCTCGTCAGATATCGAAGAAAGATCAAACCAGCGTTGTGATATTTTTCAAACTACTAACCACAGACAGAGATATTGAAATGTAAATAGATACAGATATAAATGTTCGAAGTAAATAACTAGATATAGATACATACACCGTGAGAATGTACCTGGATACACTTCATGAAGTATATATTCTCATAGTATATATATATACACAATTATTTATCTCAAATTTACATCTGTATCTACTTACACTTCTTCTTCAATATCTGTATCTAACTACGTCGAAAAAATATTGTCTAACACAAATGTTAGACAGAACGATGCTGTGATCAGTACGAGAGCGCGCAAGCGACGAGCCCAGCTTAAAGCTGGACGAGGCACCGCTCGGAGGTGAGGTGCGCCGCGAACTTGTCCCTGCGCGCGAAGGTGCGTCCGCAGATGCGACATGAGAACGGTCTCTCGCCGGAGTGCACTCGACGATGGCGGGCCAGGTTGGACGCGTAGGAGAACCTCTGCGGGCACTCGTCGCAGGTGTACGGCTGCTCGCCGGTGTGCGTCCGCCGGTGCTTATTGAGGTCGCCCGCGTGGTTGAACTCCTTGCGGCAGAACTCGCACGTCAATTGGCGCCGTCGTCTCCTGCTCGCCCCCTCCTCGTCGCAAGCTCGCTGGAGCAGCGCGCCGGCAGCTGCTTCTTCGGGATGACTTGCCGCGTCGCCGATCGTCGTCGAGACGACGTCGACTTTATCTTGTACTCGGAAGTCCTCCCCGTCTCCCTCTGGGACACGCGTCTTCCTCGGGGAAAGCGCCGAGCTGCTCGAGACACCGATCACTTCCGCGCCCGGATCTTCGCGAACTTCCCTTGCGATTGTCTCGCCGACTGGCAGTCGCAGGCCGGCCCTTTTGAAGTAATCCTCGATCTTGGCGATACAAGGAGAACAAACTGTGTTCAGAACCTAGACACCGAAGCGGAAGCGAGCGTTAACGTTCTCTCGGCTGGGCAGGGTGATCGAAGGGACGATCCCCTCGATCGCTCCGCCGGGAGGTTTTTTCTAAATTCACCGCCTGACGTTGCGGATACCTGTTGCGTAGTGTAAGGTATTTTTTATGGCTTTTAGGAATATAAGGTAATTGTACATGGACACACGCATACACACACACACACATGCGCGCGCGCGCGCGTATATACTATGTGATGTGATTCTGAAATTATTTGTAAAATGTTAACGACAAATGATGCAATAAATGTTGCGAATGTATATCATGATGAATCTCCGCTGTGAATTTTCGCCACTCCGTGACCGGACTTGGATGCGAAAGTCGCCCTTAGGGCCCGTGTTAAAAGTTGTTGGTTGAAACTTGTCTCAAATGAAATGCTCCGATTGAAATTCAGAGTTCGATGTGAGTTTCTCCGTTGTACAGCATGTGCAAATATAACGGTTGCGTTTCGAAAACACAACGGTTGAGCGAGGGCTCTGCCATTATATATGTGTATACATACCACAGGCTTGAAATTCGGATCTCGCAAGAGCGCGTGAGCCGTTTCGTCCTGGCCGAAGATCGGCAAGGTGTGCCTCTTGCAGCAGAAGCGGCAGCGTCCTTGACCGTAACATGACATGCCTCGGCAGTCATCAAGAGAGAAGAGAAAAAAAAAGAAAGGGACAATCACGACGCACGATGGTTTTCGACGAACGATACGGAAATGGCGAAATTATCGCGACCGACCAAGAAGGCGACCGGTCGTCGTCGGTATGCGTCCGGCTGCGGTTTTTCCGGACGATACCGTCTTGGCGGAGTGGGGACGACATGCCGGGGAATACCCGATTACTCGAACGTCTACACACACGCATATACACACATCCACAAAATGTGACAGATGATACGCGTGTGTGCCTAAGCAGTTTACAAAAGAGATAAACGAAGTGGTGGCGAATATCATCGTGCGGAGACTCGATCGATCGATCCCGTTCGAGGAAAATGCGCGTGATGAATCAACGGTAATTTTTGTTCATCCAATACGTCGATAAGTAGATAAATGTAGCTTTATAAACGAGCGGTTTCACGTAACGGTGAGGTGAGGCGCGGCGATTGCGAATAATTTCGCGAGTATTTTCCTGCGGATTCTATTATGAACTCTACTCGGCCACTCTTCCTCCGCTCTTTTCACGGAAAATACCGCCGATTTGTGGGCCGCTGTTTTATTTGAGCGTTACGTTGGAGGATACCGGTAACTTCGGCGAATCATCGATGATTAATGCCGGGCCGCACGCTTCTTTTATTCACGAATAATTACGTTACACCGACGTCGATCCCGGGTATTATTATTATCTTAAATGTATACACGGGAGGAAATGCTGTTGTATCAGAACGGAATACTTGAGTTATCGAAATCAGTACAATGTATTGCTATTGAATCGAGCAGACCTACTTCGATGATGGTTCTATTCTTCCTATCGATCGATTCGATACATACGATAGTGTTTCCTTCCGTGTGTGGTCTGTTAAACTCGTCATGCGCGATCAATGGATTCTTTGATTCCAAGTCGTGACGTTTGTGTTAGTGAGAGACACCTCGTATGTTCGAGACGCGTTCATTGACGAAAATATACGCACACGCATGCACACACATACATACACACACATCCACAAGCACACATGCATATGTACAAATCGTTAGAAAAGAAAACATCACCGTATATATTTCGATACGTTCGTTAGACTGATAACAGTTATTACTCATTACGTTAGATCGGATGCTACAGTATGTACAATGTATAGTCACAATGACGTAAATTCAGAGCAACGCCTCTCCTGCGCCGAACCATAAGATGTCCCGCTCCCATCGGACTGTGCCTCGACGACTGACTCTTCGGACGACTCCGGTACCGATTTTCCTCCGACGCGAAAGTGCACGGTGAATTTGTAACGCCGTGTACCTTGGCAACCATAAAATTCTCGATCCTGCAATTATGCCGGCCGAAGCGAGACATTTTGTGACCCGTTGTACGCGCATACACATACACACACACAAACACACACACACACACATACAGTCAGTATTCTGATAATTATACAACTATTGCAATGTACTTTTCTATATCACAGTAATGTTAAGTCATCTGCTCATGTAACGTCCGCTCGCAACTCGCGTTGCGAGATATACGTTGGAATTTCAGCCGAGCACGAGCATCAAGTACATCAGTTTCGCGCGTTTCATTTACGGCAACGCATGTGCAACGATGAAGGAAATTAACGGTATCGCATAAATATATTAATACTTCGACGTGAGCGTGAATATCGGATCGGTGCCGGTTGGTTCGTCGTGTTCGTCAAATCAAATAAAACTGAAGACAGAATCGTTCGATATTTCGAGGTGTCGATAATCTCCACGAAGGAAATTAACTGTCCCAGATAACACGGGATATTCTAAAATCATCCCAAGACGCTCTGAGCACATTTAAGGACGTCGATTTTGCCCTGTCTGGGTATATTTTTACGAACAACCAATAGAGTCTCATCGAATCTTTTCTTCAACATACGATTTTCCTACGAGTCAGAATTAAAAAAAAAAAAAAGAAAACGAATCCTCCGCACCGGTTTGATATTTCAAGCTTGTTTCTTTTAACTCAGCCAGTGCTGCACTTAAATTTCGTACTTTTTCCCCTCAACGCTAAGTTATATACTTACGTCATTCTAAAGCAGGGTTCACAAGTCTTAAGCCTTTTGCTCCGAGTACTAAATTGCAACGTAATTCCTAGCAGAAAGCGCTACTACTATTTCTGGTGTTACCAGATTTCGCAATTCCCAAGATTTAAGCGTTATTACGACTTTTAGCAGCGGCGAGAAACGCTTCTTGCCAGAGATTATGTTACATTTTATTACTTAAAGCAAAAGGCTGAAGACTAACTATATCTATTGTAGATCCGAAGATGAGGCAACAAGTGCAACCTGGCTCAGCTGAAACGTACAAAACCTCTCATAATTAAACTAGACCCCGTGCGCTTCATAACGAGCGTAGGTTGACCACAAAACTGACGAGGCAAGCCAACATAATCGGCAACAACGTGGCGCTCGGCCCGGACGCCGAGGATGGACGCCGATGAAGCAGTTCCCCCATGAACCGCGGCCATAACTTCACCAGGTGGTCTATCGTCACCAAGAGGTCGACGCTGGCTGGCACCTGCCTCGTCGCGTTTATCGTTGGAATCGTTGGAATCGTTGGAATCGTTGGAATCATTGGAATCGTGTTGTTTCTTAAATTCTGCAAATTTTTTACGTATGTTTCGTCGTTCTGTGTGTAGGTCTTGTCGACCGGATCATCGGCACCGCTGTGACCGTCCTTCCGGCTCCAGTCGCCGCATTTCGGGAAATTCGGAGGCACCGGCAGCATCTGCTCGTGCTCGCCCACCTTGAAGATCAACGACATTCCGATCTCCGCGTGAAACTCGATGTGACAATGGAACAGCCAGTACCCTGGAAAGCGCACATCGTTGTTATTGATGTAATCCCTTACGTTCCATTAGTTTTCCTTGTTTTTCCTTTCCCTGATTAATCATCACGCTTTGTGAAAAATGACTCGGAATTTGTGATCGATTCGTCTTATCTTATCTTTCGCTGTGTATTCCCCTGTTTTTATCATCGACCCGAATCATTTTTCAAACGCGCGTGAAACATTTTTCAGAGCTCCTTGCATGTTTTGCAACCGTGTTTTGCACAAATCTACGTATATTTCCCATCTCGGAAAAGTTTTTATAATGTTTTCATAATGTTTTTATAATGATAATAATATATTTTAATTTATATGATAATTTTCATGTAAACCACATTTGATAATATAATAAATATATTTAATTATAATAATAATTCTTTTTATAATTACAATTATAAGAACTATAATTATAACAATTATTATTATATTATATATAAATATATTTATTATATTATAAAATGTGGTTTTGCGCACGCTTTGCTGCACCTTCGTGTCTATTTTTTTTTTTTTCGATGAAACGTTATTTTTAAACGAGCACAGTTTTTAAAGAAAGCGTCTGTTATTTGCGGACGCGTCAGTTTGCTTCGCTCCTCCTTTAATCTTTTGTCAAATGGCGCGTGTGTGTGCAACTGCAAATTCTCACCTGGATTATCGGCGAAAAAGCGCAAGATGGTATACCCGCCGTCGGGCACGGTGACCGTGTCTTTCAGGGGCGCTTTTTTGAGCTTCCTATTTATCAGGCCTCGCCTGTCCATTTCCTTCACTTCGGCGACGGTGATGTTGTGCCCGACTCTTTCCATGGCCACCACGCGGAACTGATAACCGTGAAGGTGAAACGGATGATTCGCGTCGAACGTGAAACCTGCGAACAATCGTAGCGCTCGTTAGCGTCGGTGTGAAGCGTCGCTGTGTGACGACCTTGTGCACCTGAGTTGAGTCATCAGGGACAAAACAACGGACCGAATCGGCGGACGCAGCGGAGATTTCTTTCAGCGTTCCGATTCTGGCGACTCACTCCGTGTAACGCGTTAAAAAATTAACAGTAACGGCGGATAATTATGGTAATCGAGTGGCAATTGCGACGAAGTTTGTGCGATCTCGGACGAGAGGAGCGGTAAGAGAAACGCGCGAGAGAGACATAATTGTCGGTTGTATGCACACCTTCGTCTACCAGAACCAGTTCCACCACGCTGTTCATTTTGACTTGAAGCACATGGCTGCAGGCGCAGAAGTTTTTTTCGCATTCCTCGACGGTGCTGGAGTTGCAAAACTGATCCGGCTGAATGAGGTCCCTCTGGGACAGCAGCGGAAACGATGGCAGCTTCATCGATATGTGGTTCAATTGCGGCGTGAACAGTCGCTGTTTATGATCTTTCACTGGAAGAAAAGTCCACAGTCAAAATATCTTATCGAGCAGTAACTTGATAAGAATTCCCAGTAAGCAAGAAATCATTAACACAATGTTATTACAATGATATTTTGTAACATCCATAAAAATTGTCATGTAAAATTAGAAAATTTACTAATGCCTCGAGATCGATTTCGAAGCGATTTCGCTTCGGACGTTGCTCGACAAACGTAACGAAGCTTTGCACCGATCTAATAATAAAGACTCGAGCTTTACCTTGATGGAAGCCGTACAGGTTCTTGCGGTGAAAGCTCGGATTGTCCTTCGCGTAGAAATCGTAAGATATGTAAAACTGATAATCCGGTTCTCTGCTGTTGGAAGCGTCGTCGGAGTCCATTGCGTTCAGCATCGGCATGCTGATGCTGTTGTTCGACTCGGTTCCTTCGTTCAGAGCGTTCACTTGCTGAAATCAGAGCAACCACACATCAGGGGATTTCTTCGAAAATGTCTCCTTCTCAGAACGATTTTGAGATTTTCTACATTATTTTCGCATTACGTACCAATCCGTAGGAGTCATTGCGCACCCGATCGTAGGAAACCTCGACGTCCGGGTTCCCATCGGGCGCGCCTTCGTAACGCAGTATCGCGACTTGGTAAGCGCTCAGGAATCTCTCGTCGCAGTCCATCAGTCCGCGAAATCGCATCCAGTAATTGTCCACCGGCTGATTCGTCTCGACGATGAAGTCGAACCTCTCGCCGGCGTAGCTCACCAGAGACTCGGCTGCGATCGTTTATGAAAATATCAGTACGCGTGAGCTTGTACGCTTCTTCTCTCTTTTTCGTCCTCAGTTCAAACTCAAATTTCTCTCTTACTTTAGATCTTGATTTTTTTTTCAGGATTTCTCCTGAGATTCTACTTAAGTTACGCCTTCTTAAAGCCATTGGATTTTGTTTGATTTTCAATTTTCATTTCTCTCGAAGCTTTTAACGGGAAACTGTTCGTTCGCTATTTATTTAACGCGAGAAATAGAAGCTTAATTTTCGCATTAAATCTTTATTATTAATTAGTGTTATTAATCTTTGTTATTAAATTATTGTTATTATTATCATTATTATCTATCGTGATCCACTGGGATTTATAGACGTCGAAAAGCTTTAAGTAGAAATAAGGGCAAAAGTTGAATCTGCAAAAACGAGATGATCGTACCTTGCACCGGTTCGATGTCGCCTCCGTCCGAACTGATCACGAGCAAGGTATGATTGTCGACGGAAACCTCGATGGGACAGTTCAGGAACTCCGCGTTGATAAGCCTGAACCTATACCGGGAGTTCTGCAAGCGCAAATGCTGAATTCGTGGACTGGCGAAAATCACAAAACAACGTGCGAAAGACTTTCGCGTCGCCCTCCGGTCTCCCTCACAGTCGGAACTTACCGGTTGCACGTCGAACGTCAAAACAGGCATGTCGGCGAGCGTCTCGTTCTCGTCCCTCATGTGCGTGTAACGACCCAGACCGTTAATCAGCAGATTCGGCGCCTTGTTGGTGCCGTTCGCGTGATGATGCGCCAGGAACATACTGTCGCTCAGCTCGTGAACCCAATCGGCCACCACCAGAGTAAACTCGTCGAAGTCGTAGAGATCCTTGTGCCAGTTGACCGCGGGTGGTACGCGGACGAGCAACGGCCCGAACACGCCGTCGCCTCTTTGGAAGCCTGCCAGCGAGAATACACGATCAATTAACGTAGGTGGTGAATTCCGCCGACATATTGAATTCTCTCAAAGTACAAATATTCCTTACGGCGAATATTCATTTATCGATTGATCCGCGCGACTGCGTCCATCGTCGGATAAATTAATTAATACAACAACTGCAAGATTAAGCAACTTATCAAGTAATCTGATAATTAAGCGATTGATATTGCCGTTGAGTATCGAATAGGGGGGGCTCTCGAAATGCGACAACTGCGCGCTTGACGTTAGGGCGAAATCCTAAAAAAACCTCCGATTTGTACGCACCTAAGTGAGAGTGCCAGAAATGCGTGCCGCCTTCGGTGGCGATGTACTTGTACCGGAAGGTCCCCCCGGGTGGAATCGGGCACTGCGATATGTAAGGTACACCGTCCATGTACGGCGAGACGAGGTGATGCTGGCCGTGCCAATGCATCGTCGTGCTGCCGGAGTGCAGCATGTTGATCATGTCGACTATTATCATGTCGCCTTGGCACACCTGCCAATCAAACACAAATCCCTCAGACGATCCGGTAAATTAGAGAGCGGCCGGCATGCGAGACGACATCCCCTTAGGCGTTAAGCGCCCGCGAGCCGTCATTAACGCCATGCGCGACAAATTAGCGGCCATTCAATCACGGTGTATCCCCGGTCTCCCGAGCCGAAGATATTTTTATATCCAGGAGCGGCGGAATGCGCAGGTGGAGGACGAGCAAACGGAACGATCTCGGACGATCGCGTGCGCGATTAGATAAAGAGAGAAAAAGATCTCTTTGGATTTATATCGGAAGAAAAAGTATTTGAAAATTTATTTCTTTTTTTTTTTTACCTGCGGAGGATATAAGGTTTATTCGCAGAGATAAACGTTATTTCTGTGAAACGAACCTTATATCCCACAAATAAATTTTTAGGTAGTTTCCTTCCAGTTTTTGTAGTGTGTGTTCGTTTGACTTGGGTTTGTTTAATACAAACACAATTTAATGCCAAATATCATTTTTGTTTGAATGAAAAAGTTTTTTTTTTCTTAGTATCATCTTTAGTATTTTTCAAACATGATGTTACTTTTTTTATGTAATTTATTGCTTATGACAATATTAATGTAATGTGATGTTTGTATGAAGATACGATAGAAATATGTTATTTGACGTATAAGATACTTATTATTTGAGAAACCAAACAATTCTGTTCGTTGAATCAAACATTCGTTTGATTGCCCTAAAGAGACAAGTTTATTTTAATTAAAGGAATTTTATTAAATTAAAACAAATCTTTCCCTCCGTATACACGATCTCGCGACGTTGCGTGATGATTGTTAATTGCGTCAGATATAGATCTGTGAGTGATTCCCGCGGCGATATCATTGCATAATTGCAATGTAAAGCGGCCGCAATTATCGCTAAATTCAGCCCGCAAATGTGAGCGAGCCAACGAACCGTGACTTTCCTGCCTCGTCAGCGGGGATTTTCAGATTGGCGTGAGAGGGATTCATCGCTTCTTTATTGAATTTCCCGTCTCGTCGTAAATTCACGGCTTGGACGTTAAGAAGGAAACGGAAGGACCTCATTAGGCGTCCTCGTCAGACGCGGAAATACCAAATCGATGCTGCTAATTTCGATTATAAAAATTACCAACACCTTGAAAGTGACTAATAAATCCCTTCCAGTTCCATGTTCGACGTTATCGCTCCTCATATCACCGAAAAATCGATAAACAACCGATGATAATGAAACGACAATAAAGATGACGATTAGATAAATACAGAGTGAGGCGATAGCTGCATACCACTTTGAATATTTTTGAAAGTAAAAATATTTTACCAACGACCAGATGAAGATGAAAACTTGGTAAGAAAAAATAACATCTCCGTTACCGCAACTGAGAACATTTTTTCCCTCTGATCCCCGACGGAAAATTCAATTACACCGAAAGAATTGTTTTCTCCGTGCATTGATATCGATGTAATTTCCGTTATGCCCGTTTCTATCCATCATAATTAAAATCGAATCGACGATCAATTCAACAGAATTGATCAATCGCATTGATCAGTCCAACTAATTGGCCAATACGATTGGTCAATTCCCCGTCAAATCAATCATCGATTAGATTCCAGTCATAATGATAGAAACGGGCGTTAGACAAATTTTTCCCCTGCTTTCGTATTTCGAAGAAATTTAAAGTGGTAATGATTGCCTCACCCTGCATATTCGGACAGCCGATCGTGCGGCTTGTCGGCAAATCGAAATATCGCACCTCGATCGGCGGGCCCGGCAACTGGCGGTTCACGACCAAGAGGGACCTCCTGATACCGTCCGCCGGGACGCAATGAGGCCGAAAGCAGTCCGTGATGTTGAAGGGACAATCGTAGCACGCTTTGCTCATGGTCTCATAAGACTCCAGCTTGAAAGTGTAATAGCAGTCCAGAGGCGGCGCGTCATTCCTGCACGTTCGTCTGCACGCGTGACGGCTCCAATCGACGGTATCGGCGATCTCCGGGTCGACCGGTGCCAGCCCGATATCGTTGTACGCCGTTATCACCGCCTCTGAAATCGGGAAACCATTGTGTTACAGTTTTGAATTGAAATTTGAATTGAATTTGAAACTCGGCCCTCGAAGTCCCGAAGAATATTCGTAAGCTCGCAATTATTTTAAAATATTTCCACTATTTTTTCATTTGTTTTCCTGTCCTGGTTAGCAAGTTTTTCATACATAATCGTATACAACCATGTAAAATCATATGTAATCATATAAGGAATTATATATTATTTAGATAATTTTATATATTTCCATATGATTTTAATAATATAATTATTATTATTACTATATATTGAATCTCGAGTTTCGGGAAACTTGAGAAACTCGAGCGACACGCGTCGGATTTCGAAGTTCGGAACTCCCGGGACGCTTTTCGAATCTCTTGCGTGTTCTTTCACGCAAATTTCTGCGTTGTCCGATGATCGATCGATCAGCGTGCGCGAGAGCGCGTATCACGACTCACCTGACTGACTTTCATGGGCGAATAGATAAGGCAGCAGCAGCAGCACGTTCCAGATCATCGTCTTTCTCGGTCTGCAATCAGAGAGTGATCTAGTAAGTCAAAAGCGGAGATCAGAAGGCGCGCTTTAAACGCATGCAAATTTACGCTCATTAGACAACGTCACGTTCCCGCGGATCCCGCGAAGATAACATCGCGGAGACGGGGAGAGGAATCAACTCGAAGAACATCGGTGCGCACGAATTGAGATATTCGAAAGATATTGTGCGCGTACGTGCGCGACGGTGGCTTATGTAATACGCGTGCACCATTGAGAGCCTTCCTCGCGGGACAATATTTTGAATTTTCACGAGAGATGCTGCACGATCGACCGAATATTGTCAGGTTTATGATTTTCAAAAGAAAGAGACTTCCTTCTTCCAATTGACTTTGCTCTTCGTGACGTCGATTCTGAATTTATTATTACTATTAATTATTATTAAAAATTGAATATTATTATAATTATTATGATTCAAAAAAATGTATTTTGTTATTAAATTTATTATTATTATATTTAAGATTTATTGTTGTTATTATTATTATCATATTCAGAAATTTATTAAGAGCTTTTCAGCGATATGAAGTAAAAAAAAAGTGCACGGTCATTGTTTATAAATAATTGAGATTTTTGCATGTGCTTTTAACAGGATCGTTCGATCCTCTTCCACGAATTTGAAGATTTAAAAAGATCTAAAAGATTGCGGGATCTCAAAATTGTCGTAATTTCGGGGAAAGGCCTTTTTCAACGTTATCAAATATCGACATTTCTCAAATTAATTCTGTTACATTTCCGAACGGCGCTGGAGAGGCCTTTTATCAGGAATTACGTTACATTTTATTGCGAACGGCTGAAGGCTCACTAACCTGCCGATAGATCCGAACAAACAGGCGACTTACTTATTTTATGTGTTTTTCGTGTTATCGAGGTAACTTAACGATTTATTTAACGAGTTAATGAAAAGCGACGGAAAACAAAATACGACAAGAGCGTAAAGAGCCGAAGAAACGTCGAAGAGTGGCCGGTGTTTACGGGGACGGATGCAATCTAAAGCGAGAGAATCGTCCGAAGGCACGTTCTCGAAATAGAAGAAGTACGTCCTGGAAGAGCTCCGACTCCCGGGATTTCTTAATCACACGAGCCTCTCATGTGTATTACACATCACTCGGCGATAATCCTCATTTGTCCATGAGAACGGCCGTTCACGACTGCTCGTCTCGTCGGTGGCAGCGCACACGGTGGCAATCGCGAAGACACATCGCAATGTCGACATCCCCGACGCTTTTTACGACACGACGCGACGTTACATACGCGCACACAGGTGTCGTATCGCGGCTTTTCACGAATTTAGCACGTGCCGACTGAGACACGCGCCGCAACGCGGACCTTTATCTTCTTCTTTGACCTTCCTTCCCAAAGCCTTTTTTACTATCTCGGATATCCTCTCATATTTTCGGCTCCGGTCTCGGAGCCGTAATCTGCGTGCGCAAATTCCCAGCCCCGAAACGTAGTCCTTCGCATTTTATTATCTGATCGAAACTAGACCCGCATTTTTCGAGTTTAACTTATTTCCACAGCTCTGTTGATTCATGCTGACCTGTAACTTCGTTCAGGCCGTTTTATTTTCTTCGAGGGAAAACGAACCTTTTCGGCAATTTGAACCGGGATCCGGACTCGTAAACTTTGAATACGTACGAGTATGTAAAGGGAGCCTTGGATTGTCTATCGATAGACACAGTCCATGAGTTTAGGTAGTTTTAGTCGTCTCTCCGCCACCGCTCGTACAGTCGGTGGCATCCATATGTTATACTATTCCTTGGTTACACCGATTTTCAGCCTTTTACATAATGCATAAGGTTGAATGTCGCAGAAGTAACTCTGGTTATTTAACGGCTCTTGATTCAATTATAATGCACACAGAAAAATGCACACCGCATTCGAGTAAATATTACTGAGGTTGCAAATATTTCGTATAAGTTTATATATCCGCAAGTATAAGTTCACCATAAATATCGAAGTTTCGATCTGTTAAAAGTTCAATCTATTAAAAGTTTCAAGGAACGGTAGAAACAGTATACGCCGACTGTACGAGCAACACATCACCCGAGTACCAAGAGCCGGCATAAAGTAGATTAAACCCGGCCGCGTGTTTCGCCCTAGTTATTTCCAAAATTTTACATCATGCGTGCGACCACTCGCACCTACCGAATCTTAGGCTGGTGACAACGTACGTATCGACATGGCACGTGGAGGCGCAGCTGTTATTTGCAACTGAGCTAATAATCACGTTATTATACAAGAAAGGCGTTAACTCCAGCGCCCGCTGTTTTCCAATTTGCCCTTAGCGGCGCGGAATCGGCTTGGAGATACTCGAACACCCGCCCCTAAGTAAAGCCCGCATAATGTGCGCTCGCGTCGTTAATTGTGAAAATATCAGCAGCCCGCTCGTCGAACACCCGTTCTCGAGCTGCTTCGAACTGGAATGCGTGTTTATGTATTATTCATACTCGCATCAGGTCGCACGCTATTAATCATATGTATATATCGGTTTTATAATATCTTTCGATGTCCTCCGACTCCCACACGCACGTAATTAATTGATATAGTCAATTCAGCGTCGTCGTGTGCACGTACGAGCGAGACATCGTTGTTTTGACATCAGTAGACTGCTCTCTTCGAACTTGACTCGCGCAATGTGTTCAGTACCGAAACAATGAGACGCACAGCATTCGTCTTAACGATCTCATGTCACGTCCGTTGTTACGAAACACTCTTACTTACATTAGTTCCACGTTTAATTATCTTGTGGCGAGGAGATACCTGCAGGTTTTCCCCTTGCATCTCGTTAATGGGAGTCATTGGAAACGCCGTATGCCGTGGAAAACATCCGAAGGTTGTCCGCGAAAGAAATGGGGATATTTAGAGCGCCGAAATTCCGGGTGATTTTTGATAAATTAACAGCGCGTGCACAATAATCTGAACTACTTTTACACTCGGAGATTTCTATGGATTGATATTGCCAAAGGTAGCAAAATTGCAAAATCGCTCTTAATAAATTTCTGAATATAATATAATATAGTAATAACAATAAATCTTTATATTTTAATATTTTCGTATTTAAAGACCAAAACAACAAGAATGTCCAGTTAGGTGCGCGAAGTGTTTTTACTTTTACCTCGTCGCGAAATAGCTGCGCGACGATACGCCGGCGATAACAAAATTTTCGTTACGGAATAAGGGGGCTGGGATTTCGCAGAATAACGCAACACCGAACACGCAATACGTGACTCACCGCATCATCCTCGCACCCTTCTCGATTTCCCGCAGGATATCCTCCTGACGATCGGACGATGAGGATCGACAAGACGCTGTTCGAGATGATCCGCCGAGCGAGAATAATCCGTCGTCGGCGGTGCGCCTCGACGGGCGTTGAATTCTCCGTTCACGATTCGGGGAGACTCCTCTCGCACGTGCCGGAAGACCGAATCTCTTCTTTCACTTCCGCCCCGAGATGACTCCTCGTCCGATGTCCGAGACACAGTGACCGCACCGCGGCGATGTAACACGAGATACTGAAGAACCAGCGCGCCGTCATTCGCCCCTCTCAGGAGTCCTCTTTTAAGAGGATCCGCCGCGAATGGCCGGCGAGGGGGGCGTTCTGCTTCTTCACCTTGTCTCACCTAGACCACCAGGTAGAATACAGACGCGACGACGACGACAACGCACGGCATGCCGCGACGCCGGCGATCACGGCCGTCCCTTTCGCTGTCTCTCTCCTGCGGGAAACCATGTCCGGCGAGTTTCCCTCTCAGATTTCCACCATCGACTCGTTTGAAACGAGATTTGTGAGCGGAAGAGGACGATGATGATGATGATAAGGAGCAGAGGAAGAAAAAGAAGCGCTCCTCCCACAGCAATTTCTTTCTTTCTTTCTTTCTTTCTTTCTTTCTCTCTCTCTCTCTCTCTCTTTTCCGTGTAGATCGGCCCGGCGTGGCACTCGCGGCGAGAAGGAAACTCGATTTGACGCATTTCGGCCCCGTCGAGCGACGAAGGAAAGCGCCTTATCTTCATCGTAATTGAACTTAATACCCGGGCTGGGCACGATAAGCGAGCATTACCTGGCTCTGTTTGCTCGCTATAACAGCCGGAATATTGTAAATAATACGCCCGGATCGAACCTTAGTTCTATATTATGTCTTCAAAAGTCTTCTGTTGTGCTCTTTTGATGCTACAAATTGGAAGTTATTCCTGTTTCCTCCATTTGAACACTTAGAATTTAAAATTCTTCCAGAGGAGGTTTAAATTCCCTTTGTAGGAATCGAAGGAATATTATTAGTGCTGTTTTGATGCTATAAATGGTAAGTTATTTTCATTTTTTCTACTTAAAGACTTAATGTAGAACTAAGTAGATTTAAACGTAGGACCAAAATTTCGACATATTCAGATGACAATCGAATCATTCTTCCGCGGATCGTTCGTGCGTTTACATGAACGCCGAGAGTCTCTGATGACTCGTCGCTCTCTGAACTTCTCGAAGTGAAATCTCGTTGAAAATAAGACTGGAAAATTCGTTGTATGCTCGGATCAAATACTCCTGTTCTTTACATTTTCTTCTTCCTGAACCTTCTTGGCAATAATTGTTGAACCTACACTGAGAAAAAATATTTAGTGTAATACATTATACATTGTTCTAACAACTCGAGAGTATTAGTTTCAGTAATATGAAACTGTGACTTACTCGAATTACCGCCGTTGATCAATTCCATTGATAGAACAGCCCTTTTAGATAGATTTATTTAACTTTGGGATAAAATCTCCTCAGTTTCATAATAAAATAGGGCTGTGAAAAAGTATTAATCAAAGCGAGTCATTTAAACAAATACAGCAATAGTTACGTAGTAGCATTCTTGGCCATGTACAAGAGCGAAAAATCAGTCGAATTCGAATAATTCGTCGCTTCAAGTCGCTTACAAAATGCGAAGATTTTCTTATTTACGATGAAGTTTTCGTGCAACAGCGCCGTAGGATATTCTATTTTTTGCTCGGAAAAACATCCTTTTCATCGAGAAACGTAAAACCTGTCAAGTTCTCATCGGCGTTTTATTACGCACATCGGAATGATGCGCATCGCCGATGATTACCCGCGATGAGCATAAATTTCGATCTGCAAACGCGATTAATTTTCCGAGTCTCCCTGATTTCCTAGGATCCACGCGTCATCGTAAATTGCATTGTGGTGTAATGTCTGGGTATTAATGGGATAACAATATACGACGATCATTGTAAATTCCTCCGGAGGAAGAGCGAAGCTGATCGAGCGAACGAGGAAGAGATGCGTTTGCTCGCTTCAGCACGCGCACGGCAGTAAACGCACTTTCGTTCACTCCCGACGACGCAATTGCGCAACGCATCGCACCAAAATCGTCAATTACAACACCAACCGGTCGTTTCGTGGCACGAAAGGAACAAAGTTCAATCGTTCGTGCGTGATGCTCGCGAAACGCGCGCTTACGCATTCGCGTACAATCGATAAAAGACCTCTTCTTTGCGTTCGAGGCTGAAAACACTCGTAATTTAATCGAGATTAATCGTGCGAAAATAAAAACAGGAAACGGATAAGTCAAGAAGGGGAGAAAAACGACGAAACGGAGCCTCACGTCGGAAATTGATTTCACCGAGTTGAAAGTTTGAATTCCACATTAAGTCTTCAAGGGGGAGAAAACGAAAGTAGGTTTCTACGATAAGTGCTCCTTTAATGCTGCAAATGAGAGCTGAGACCTCGAAAATTTAAATTTTAGTTCTGTATTAAGTACTCTTCAAGTAAAGAAAACAGCAACTTCCTCATTTGTAGCGTTAAAGGAGCACAGTAGGAAGACCTTCGAAGATTTAATGCAGAACTAAATTAAAGTAGGACTAAAATTTCGACTCGGATCACGACGAGTGTCTACGCTTCTTGGAGCCTGCGTTCCGTGAGAATTTCGTTTTCCGAATTTTAATTAGAAATTTACTTATACATTTATTTATTACTCATTCGGGATAGATTTTCCTTTTGTTTAAGAAAAATATAATAACACTTGTGGAGATAGTATTCACACCAGAAAGAAGAAAAGATAAGAGAGAATTAAGATAAGAGAGAAGTGAGATTTTAGCTCAACGATACCGATAATGACGAAATATCGGATACGATTGTTAAGAGTGCGTTCCATTGCAAATGTTGCCCGATAAGAAGGGACGAATTTCAATTATAACAAGAACTTTCAATATGTCATTTAACCGTATCTTATCGTATTAATGACACGAACATATGGCGTGATATGCTGTATTTGCCAGTAAAATTAGCATCGGAAGAAATGTTTCTGAAGCTGTTACGTCGCTGTAAGATAAGAAGGCGTTATCTAGAAAGTCACACTAGTGTCTAGCATGAGGCGTTTCATATTTAGCGGACAGGTCTGAACAGTCGAGCCTCTTTCCCTTTTCCTTTTCTTTTCGATCAATGCGAAGCACAGATTTGTGTGTGAGTTATTTCTTATAATATGATATTCTATATACAAATGGTTGTTCTTCGTTGGAACGTTCCAACCCCGATTGAGATCCTTCTCAGCCGAACTGATGCGAAGAATATCAAAGAACGCACACTTGTACTTGGCTCATATCGGCTTAATAAAAAATTAAAAGGAAGACTTATCTGGATTCTCCTAATAGCCGTTTCATCCTTTCAGATTTAAACGCGCCGGCTTCGCCGAAAAAACGTTGCGTCTCGCACTGTCCGCACTGTCCGTGAAACAGAAAATACTTGGCTGTATTTAACGCGTGAAATACAAATAATACACATACAGTGCGCGAAACGAAAAGAAGATCGAAGTACAAAATAGCTTGGACAGAGTTAATCCAAATCAAAGAACAGTGTAAATTCACGGTTGATGAACATTGTAATTGAATTGACGCAAGGAATTATAGGAAGTGGAAACATACGGAATAATAGAAGAAATAATAGAAGCGAGATAGAAGCATATGCGCCCGAGTACGATCTAACAGATTGCTGTAATGGCGTCGTTGCTACAAGGTGCGCATTAATCGAATAATGTTTTTGTTCCTGACGAATGATACGATTAAATCAGTGGTCCGTGTGGACATTACCTCGCCACCACTTGGGCGAGAATCCTGCGGAACAGGTTTCGAGGGAATTCCCCGTGCTCTTCGACTCGATTTATGGCGAGGAACCAGTAGCCGCCGACTCGCGTCAGCCGATGATGACGTGCCCGTGTCATTTCACATGTACTTCCTGGTTTACGTGGGACGGTTTTCGCGAACACTTCATCCGTTCCTCCGATGCCAGGTGTATTAATATTAATCTATCGTGCCTTTTACGTAAACCACCTTCCACGATCTTCGCCGCGGTCTCTGCGCTGCGCTTGCGATAAAACGGCTAAGGTCACAACAATGCCGCAATACACACGATCACGTCGTTACTTTTCATAAACGATTTCGTAATTATCTCTGTCTTCATTAGTGGGAAACGACGTGGAGTTTCGCCTTGACTGCATATCGATGGTGGGCACGCTCGCGCTTCGCGGTGGAGAGGAAGAAGAAGAAGGGGTAAGGAAGCGGGTGTATGCATGCTTTATGTGTGTCTTCCCATTCTCTAGATCGAGGATTGCACGATCCCCAAGCTTGTATGTACGATTAAGATCGAAAGTCGCATCGAAAGTAAAATCGAAAGTGGGAATGTGTTTTAATATGGGCAATGACTTGTCAAATATGTCTATAAAGCGGAGGAAACGGAAATAACTCCCCACTTGTAGCATCGAAGGAGCGCGATGGGAGGCCTAATGAAGACACAAATTTATATTCTGAACTCACTTTTATCGATAAAAATGCCTTAATGGCCGTCTGGTCCCTCGCTGAAACTGTCTTTGTGGACTCCCTCAGAATTCTGAAAAGGAATAATAAATCAGTGAGCCGTATGAGCCGTAGTTTCGACTTGACGCGTAAGACTAGAAAACCGTGTAATTCTCGGGATCCCGGCAATGGTCAGGCATGACGCAGTGTGTGCACGCACGAGAGAGCAGCGGAGGCCGACCCTCGAGATTGAATTCGTCGGATAAAAAAGCGCGACCCGCGCGCTCGGGTGCGTCTCAAGGGCGAGATGTTACCGTATATTACATAATTCGGAATTACAGGTCGCGAAGGTCGTCGCGATACAATGTAACGAACGTGTAAGGAATGACGACAAATTGATCAGCGGTGAAAGAGAGAGAGAAAGAGCAGCACACACCATGTGCGGCATGCGAGGAGCGAAATTATTATCCGCATGGTATGAGCGCGCGGCTCTTACGCAATGACCCCGCGATGGACCATGGCCGCAAAACAAAGGGCCCTGAGAGACGGTGCGACGTCCGCTGTCTTGGACAATGCTCCGAGAGCGAAGACGCGGATCGGCCACGTGAGTTGCCTCCCCGTGGAAAAGCGCCGTCGCTTTCACACGACCGGCATTCCCACCCGACGCCTTTTTGTCTCCTGGAAAAAACGTCTTAAGGATGTTCGAAAGATGTCAAAAATAAATGAGAGACGCTTTTTGGGCCTCTATTAGAAGCTTGTGCCATCCAGGTCTCTGTTTCCCGTTCCGTCATTCAGATTTCGACTTTCTCTTGTGTGGGAGATACGATTTTCTTTCTTTCTTCCTTTTTTCCTCTCTCTTTCTCTCTCTCTCTCTCTCTCTCTCTCCGAAATACAACACGAACGTTCGGGCTGCGCGACGACGTTGAAAAAGATCAGAAAAAAGAAGGACCTTTTTTGTCGGACGCTCGCTCTCGTCCATCTGCGGTGGGAATGGAGAAAGTCCCGGCGGGATGCGGGTAGTTCCCCGGCGAACGACGAGGATGACGAGGTTCGCGCGCCGCGAAATAGACGCGCAAGGACGCGCGAGAGCGTTCCCCTCACGACGCCGTGCGCCTGAAGTCATCAACCGCATTCCGCCGTGTTGTTTCTACCGGGCGGCTACCTTTCTCCGTGTTTTTTTTCGGACTGTTCAGTCCTATGGAAATGGAAGAGAAAATAAATGCTCACAGGCACGAACGAGCGCTTGAGAGTGCAGCTTGTGCAGCTCTGCCTGATATTGCATGTGCCGGCAGCTCAATGATTATCGTGATTTCGTAACGTCAGGTGTTACGTGTGTATGTGTGTGTGTGTAATAAATATACTCTGGTATCTCAATCTGGAAGACGACGAGGAAGACACTTAGATTCGGGAAAACCCTTCGATAAGTGACATCGATTGGCCCTTGTAGGTCTTATTCTTTATATGTTTACGTATACTAGAGAGATTTTTCTCTACCTGTAAGCAGATATATGGAAAAAACAAATGTTATATCATGTGAAAGCTAGCCATTCGATTTAATCTAGGAAATGTGAAATATGTTTCTCACACAAGTTGCCAAACATCCTTAATTTGTTCCCAGTGAATACCAACTAAGAATAACGGGACGTCAATGTCATAATTTCCCATTCAACAAGGTAAATGCAATATAACACGCGTGTTACGTAACAGTTACATTATTGAGAGGGGAATTTATAACATTGATGTTGTGTTACTGTTAGTTAATTAGTGTTTACTGGGTTATTTATTACCTTCATCATTAGCTATGGCGGTGTGCATATATGAGATTCTATGAAAATTGTTAAATACCATTTCAAAAGTATTGAAACTTTTGTGTGCTCCGATTAAAAAGCAATCGAATATTTTGAAGCCAAAGTTGCAACAAAACTTATAATTTTTTCTTGGTTTGTTAATATGAATATCTCGGGTTACAGCTGATTATATCCCGTAAAGCCAGAATATCACGTCACTGATGAGGTGATACTGAAGACTGTCAGCTCTGGATAAATTTTTGCAACTACCATGGGGGGGCCCAAGGTAATTGAAGAATATTGACATTATCGACCATTCTTAATCAATCGGTAAATGTAAATTAAAGAAACGTACCAATCAGAATGTTGCTTCAGGCTGATGTATTCCAAAAGGCATAGAAGTGACGAGAAGTTTCACCGTAAGCAAAACTAGGATTTCGATCGGTTGCGGAACGTATTCGGTATCCAATAGGAAATCAATGAATAGTTAATTTCCATCCGACAGGAGAATTTGTTTCTTTCTTCAACTCTCTGAGAAAAATGTGTTTATTGGTTACCGATTCTGTTTCGAAATTCATGAAGAGGAGGTGCCGCGGCTATTTTTCTCTCGTTAGTGTTCTAAATTTATCAAATCATATCCGTGCCTCAAAAGTCGATAGCTGAACTGCGAGTTCGCCGAGTGTAGGGCAAATAAAAATGGCGGATGACAACGAGGACCAGTGGTTGTACGGCGATTCGGTTGAAGGGAAAGAGTTCACACCGCCAAATATTCAATCGGAAAGCCATCAGAATGACTCTGCATCCGCCAAGCTCCAGGAGAAATCTCAAGTTCCGGAGGATCAGAAGGGGGAAGGTGTCAACGAAGCTTCCTCCGAGGTACACGCGTCACATAACCTTCCTCAAACGTTTTATCATGAATTATTTTTTGCGAAACACCGTAGAAACTCGACTTTCGGGTTGTCGGTAGATTAATTTTGTGCAGTTGACATAACTCGATCGTCTCTATTAGATGCGGTCTTCTTCATAGTTTTGCTTGCGATAAAATTAGAGGAAACATACTTTGAGGTAACATAACCTATGTGTACCTGCAAAGTGACAAGCAGTTAGTGAACATTTAACAGAAAAGTGAGTCTACGAATAAGTGGAGATTCATTGCGAAACTTACATTTGGATCGTCCTGAATCTATACATAAAGGAAATAAACTTCTGTTAAAATATAGAAAATCATACCATATATTTCACTTGAATTGTCCTCTCCTTCATTCTTCTTTCCTTTGAATATCTCGATTGAGATCTCTCCACATTTTGATGTTTCTTCAGGATGCTGATGTACTCTCACTTCTACAGATGCAGGAGGACACAAACTCCCATGGAGGTGGGGAAGACTCTTCGTTGAACAACACGCAGGAGGAGAACGCGGATGTAAATAAGAATGGGACGAGGGAAATGTCTAACCAGGAGGACGGCGAGGCACCCAGTGACTCTGATTCCGACGATGATGTTCACGTTGTGATCGGTGATATCAAGTCGACTCCAGCATACGGTAGCTTGAATATCAAAAGAGGTGGACTGTTGACCAACGCGTCCGGTGTGCCGGATAAACTGAACAAGCAGCCGGGGAAGTTCAGCATAGAGGAGTTCGAGACGATCGGTATCATCAATGGGATACCGGCTCATGAATTCAACTTGGATCAGTTGGAGGATAAACCATGGCGTCAGCCTGGCGCGGATATCACTGATTACTTCAACTATGGCTTCAACGAGGAGACCTGGCGCGCTTACTGCGAGCGGCAGAAGCGGATGCGGAATGAGTCCGGTGTGGGATTAATCCTGAACACTGGCAGTGGTGGCAGTAATCCGGGTAGCATGAGAATGCCCCAGGTTGCGATTACCAACGACAACAGCAAATATTCGGGAATTATGGGTCCCAAGAGAGCGGGGCCGCCGCCGGGTCGGAAAATGGCAGGCACTATTGACGTTATCGGCAGTTCCGGCCTAGCCTCGAGGAGGAACCTGGACAAGTCGCCTCCGAAGGGCAATGTCATACAGGTGATGACCGCGGATAGGAGGGAGTACTCGAGGAAACCCGGTTTCCCGGACATGAGCGTACCGCCACCCGGTGCGGGCATGCCTCCACCGTTTGACATGCCGCCGCCGGGCTACGCTGGTGAACCAGCATCTTTCTACATGCCGGACGCCGATCCGTACTACCAGAGCTACGAACCGACGCAGGACAGCCAGTGGGGCAACGACCCGGTGAGGAAACGGCGTTCACGCGACTCGTCTGTGACGTATACACGGCAATGTTAATCCGGTTTGGTAAAAACCGTAGTTGGCGAGATCTTGCATTTGATTGGTACATCCTTTTGGATCTGAAAGTGTCCTCCAATTAAATGCGAGAGTTCGCTAACGAAATAGTTAGCAATAGTTACCGAATCCGACTAACGTTGCCGTGTAAGCGAAGTCTACGGAAGGTGGGATAAGTTCGAGCGCGCGACTAAGCTTCCTGTTCCCGTTCGTTCCAGACGTGGCAACCGACGAACCTGGCCATCCCGATGACCGAGAACGATGATGACAAAGACATGGGGCCCAAGACGATACCCACCATGGTGCCACCGACCTCTATTCCGCCTCTGATACAGGCGCGCGATCAGAGGGACGGCAGGGACCGCGAACGAGACAGGGATAGAGATAGGGACCGGGAGATGGAATCCATGGGCAGAGACAGGGAGAGGGACAAGGACAGGGAGCGCGAACGCGAGAGGGAGAAGGATCCGTTGATGAGGGACCGCGACAGAGAGAGGGACTCGATGACGAGAGAGGAGGATCGGGATCGCGACAGGTCGAGGTCCCAGTATCGACACAAGGATCGGTAATGGACATGTTACTTCTGCTAAATTCTACATTCGCTTTATACAATTGTTGCTATTTACTAGTAATTACTACTTTGTAGTAATTATTACTTCATAGTAATCGTTCGTAGTAATAATTATTTTCTCTGTAATAATCATTTGTAGCAGTTATCATTTCTCTCTTTTGTAGTAATTGATATTAAATTACCACAAAATTCTATACTGCGCGTGTTCCCTCCTGTAAAAGGGAAGATTCTGAATTTTTTTCTTATTCAATAAATACTACCATCAAGGTCAAGCGCGCTTCTTCCCGGAGTAGCTTGGTTTCTCCTTTGCAGTTTGCCGCACAGGTTATTCAGCCCACGACAAGGCGCTAGCCCGTGCACGAGTACCGGAACACTCTGATACTGATCACGCGCGATCTTTCTTTTCAGACATCGACATCGGTCGAGGTCTCGATCTCGCAGACACAAATCGAGATCGCGAAGTCCGAGCCGGCGCAAGAAGAAATCCAGACGCTCGGACAGAGAACGTTCCAAGGAAGAGAGTGAATAAATTGTAACGATCGAATGCATACATACACGCGTACATGTCATTGCACGTAATTAATTGAGCGACCGCCGATCGTAGTCGCAACTCGACTATGAAAAAGCTAAGGTGGAGAATCACTTTTCACAACAACATGCCTCGATTGTTAATCTACGAGATGTAATACACGCGGAAAAAGTACACGCGCACGATAGTATGCATTAATTTAACGAAAGTAACACACATTGATGCGCGGAATCGAATTGTCCGATGCTCGTCTACGTTTTAAATAATGTAACTCGCGATAGGGGAGAATCGAGGCGGATTTCTATTTATGAATTTACCGTAAACAAACCGTGCACTCCGCGATAATCATCACGTACGTCTGTAATAGCGTTTAAGAAACATATTATTCGCTTCTCACACGTTCAATAGCAACGATTCGACCGCTTTGATTCCGCGGCAAAAGTAAAGAAAGAGATCGAACGGAACTGTTGGATACTGTCAGAGCGAGTCAATCAAAGGTCAAGAGCAGAGAAGACGGAATTATTTGTGTTGTGCATGTAAATCTCATCTTGAATATTCCTTGTAATTCTTGTTTGTAAGTTTTCACAAATCCGGAGAGGACAAAAAAAAAGAAGGGAAAGATGCTGCGATAATAAAGTAATATTTTCCAGAGAGAGAGAGAGAGAGACATTTTTCTCTTCTCCGTCCAGAAAAATATCCGTTAACGTCGGCGATAAGAACGTTGGTTTCAGTTGAGAGAAAATCTGAAGTAAACTTTTTAATCGCAACAGCAACATACCTGGCCTGGCGTTATGAAGCAGGCTTGACTTTGCGTCGCCATTCGCGGCTATTCGAGGATATTTTTCCTTCATCATAGCTTGGCTGAAACCTCGTAACCGAGCAAGAGTGAGTGTTCTGTAATACCGACGATACTTTCGGACGAGCCTCTTCAGCCCACCACGAGTCGGCGCCACAAGTCGTTTGCCATCACGGTGCGCGCGTACCTCTTGAAAAGCCGTTAAAAACCGATTCTCCCGCGACAAAGAAACTGGTAAGTTTTTATCCCAGATAATCACAGGGATATCATTCGGTAATATTGTCATAATTTAACGGTGCGAGTACTTAGTCGTGCGATTCTCCTTTCCAACTCGTTACTCGCGGATATCAATTGATTTATTCACCTGAAAACGCGGCTGACAAGAACAGGTTATATTTCCGTCTGCGTGTGCAAATCTGTAGCATGCGATACTTGGGACTAAAGTGACAAATAAATTTTCGTATGCATCGTATTGACTAGTAATTTGCGTTTATACATGGCAATTAAATATCGTTGCTCGTACAATTTATACGCGAGTTTGCCAACAGCTACAGATTGATCCTGTATGATCCACTGTACTGTCAACAATAATTTCACATTTCTTCAAGGTTCCACGTTTTTTGTTACACTGTTTTCAAGCCAAAGATGCCGAAATCGAAGGCATACGTGTCCGACAGCGACGACAGTAGCGAGGAGGTATGGTATTGTGCTCAAACATTTGGTGTTTCATAACGATTTCTGTAATATCACTCGCTGATTTTTAGGAAAAGAAACCAGTGAAGAAACCAAAAAAGGAAGAAGAGAAGAAAGCAGTTTCAAGCAAAAAGACAAAGCCTGAGGAGGATGAAACCGTGTGGGACTTGGGTAACAATCGTCAAGTGAACGTGAGGAATTTCAAAGGCAACTTTTACGTGGATATCCGAGAAATGTACTACGATAAGGATGGCGACTTGAAACCTGGGAAGAAAGGTAACGTTTGCTGTCGTAAGATCTCGTCACGCTTTCAGCTGCTAGTAACTCGACACGATATGTCAAAAAGAAATAAGGATTTTATGAGAAAAGTGATCAGACTTTTTATATGAATATCCCTTGATGCTAAATTTGTATTATTTTTTATTGTTTGCATAGGAATTTGCTTAACCATGTCACAGTGGCGGAAATTCATGTCCGTTGTGGAGGAAGTGGATAAAGTAGCCAAGTCGAAATGTTAGAGGCACAATTCGACCTGCACACTTTAAAGATGTTTTTGGTTTTACGTTTACAATTTTTCCATTTGAAACATGTTAATGTTCGAGAATTTCAATCGTTCGTCCGATCTTACGGATGCAAATAGTTTATGAAGATAATTAAAGCTGTGAAACTGCACTCGTTTGAAATGAATGCTCGTTTTTTTCTTAAATATTTATCGCTGGTTTTTAGTGTATAAATAATATAATTATTTCGTTTCTGGTTTCCTACTTGTAACAAATAAAAGTTCCAAGAGATGTCCGGTCTGTGTTTGATAAAAATTTGATAAATTTCCTTTGAGTTCACTACTTGAAACGTTTAATCTCTTTCCTTCCGTACACCTTTGCAACTTACTTCTCGGTATCGTGTAGCAATGACAGAAACGACGATCTCTTTGGCATTATTGATTGTAAATTGTCACATACAAAACTGTATTATTACTATTGCTATTAAACGATTATTACCTATACTGCACGCATTTGAACTGCCACACGAATATTCTTTCTCTGAATAAATGAAAAGTGTCACCCGGGATTTTCAGTTATAAATTATAAGGCTGGTATATACACGTTCGTCAATCATTGATCGCACCAGTGAGTCAGAATATCATAAAAAAGCATATAAAAATTTGCACAAGTAACTAGTGATTCCTAAATTGCTAACATTAAAATACGTAAAATACTATGTCTCGTTATATCAAAATAGAAAATACACGCAGCTTTGTAACACGTAAAAGTACGATATTTACACATTATACAATGAACATTGTTCAATCTAAGCTAAGATGGTGCCATAGAGAGCACTTCTTATTCAGGCCCGTGCACTGTAGCCAAGAATTTATTCAGGTCCACGTTGCTGAGTAGCGTCTGCGGATCAGTCGCGCATGGCTTCTTTTCGATCTGAAATCAAAAAGAAAGCATGAATAACACGCAAATATGGCATAACGTAGCAGTAAAAATCAGATCTACTTTTCTCTGACCTGTTTTGTTTCTTTGGTTTCCGACAGCTTTCTCTTGCGGTTTTTCGCGGCGACCTCCGACACTGAAAGATCATTACGTGACATCAGCTTATGGTCGCCGATCAATACATTATCTCTGGTCTGTTTCGCTAAATTAACGTACATTATATAACGTACATTTATATAACTTAAACAGAGACAGATATACAATTAAAACTTGATGGAAGGACCTTGACAGAATTGCTGACTTGTCGGTTTAAGACAATGTTTTATCTTTAAGTAACGCAATGACTGTCCTGTGTCTCGAGTCTTAAATTAAAAAGCCGTTCTGTTTGTGATTAATGAAACTGTTGTCTAATAAAAAAAAAAAAAAAGGTAAAACAAGTGATAATTTGGGTAAAGACTTAGAGCATGAAATATTGTCTTGAAATTATAAATCAACTATTCTGTTGAGGCTCGAAGAGAAGGAGAGAATTTGTGCGAGTTCGTGCAGCCAGTTCAGCGAAGAAGAACCGATCTTTCCTCTAACACGATTCGCGCTCCTATTGGTATTCCTCGGCGAGGAAAGCGGCTCGCCTTATCTCGGCCGTTTTCTGCGCTCTTACCTTTCTCCTGCGTCTTCTCGGGCTTCGGTTTCTTCTTCAGCTCGGACTGGGCGTCGGATCTGCCGGCCGCGGTCTTGATCGGTGGCTTCTTCACTTTCGCTCCCGACGACTCGTCCGTGGGAGCCGACGCAGCCAGAGACTTGCTCGTGTTGTCTCTCAAGGTGAACGCTTCGTTCTCCGTCCTCGTGCCGGACGTCTCGCTCTTGTACGGCGCCTTCTTGGCCAACGTTCGCTTCTTCGTGTTCTTCGGCGGCAGGTTGAATATCTCCTCGAATTCGGTGGCTTTCAACATCTTGATGCACTCGACGGGATTCGGGTCGGACAGGTCGGCGTAGTTGATCTCGATCTGCAACTCGTGCCCGCTGTATCTCCTCCGCCTCTTCCTCATCGGCGCGCTGTCGTCGTACACGAAGTGATACTCTGCCTTGTAATGGTGAACGTCGGCTGTCCTTTGGCCCGACTCATTGTCATTCATCTCGCTTGTACCTTTATTATTTGATTCATTATTAAAAGTTCAGCAACATAATATAATCCTGAAAATGCAAGTTCAGAGAGGAAAGATTTATGGACGTCGGTAAATAGTTGAAATAACAGGAAGCCCAAGTGGGAGTCCCGAAGAGAACTCCGGGAGAGGCTTGTTGATTTCTCGAGAAAAAGCACTACCAATTCTCAACCTCTGACTTCTATTCTGCAAACTCAACTCAAGACCCAATCGAGTGGGACACTGTTAAACCCAAGTACCTGTAATTCCCCCTCATCAAAATCAAAGCTGTGAATCAAAGTGATTAACTCAGCGCTAGGATTTAAGATCAACGCAAGTGACTTTACCTCTGCTCCCGTCTTCATTCGGCTGTTGGTGCTGCTGCTTGCCGTTCTGACCCAGCTCGTTCTTGTGCGCCGGCACCAGTTGCAGACACTGCAGGACGCTCGACAGCTCCTCCTTGGGATTCTCCGGCCGAACATTCTCTCGTGAAGCGTTCGGAGGCTCCTTCGTGAAACCCTGCAGCGTCCCCTCCGACCTCTTCTCCTCGGTGCTCTTGTCCCTCTGCGCCACGCAGGACACCTTCTGGTCGCTCTCCTCGTCGCTGAACAGGTCGCGCTTCACTTGATCCACCTTGCACTTCAGTATGCACTTGGCCTTGTCGAGGTGACTCGCGAACTGCCTCGGCTTCCCCGCTCCTCGGTCCTCCGGAACCTGATCGCTCCGCGACTCCGGCGGCTTGTCTCCCAAGACTAAGCTTTCCTGCCCAACCACGTGCCTCTCGGCGGACTTCGCCTCCCTCTCCGAGACGTCGCCGTCTCCGGACGCCTTCCCGGCCTCTTCTCGGTCGACGTTACCGGTGCAGCTCCTCTCTGCGTTCTCCTCGGCGACCAACCGCTCCTCCGACGAAGGCTCCGCGGCGTGCGATCGCGCGGATCCCGTCTCCTTGCCGGTACAATCCTCGAGCAAGTTAGTCCTCGCGTTGCCGACGTCGCTCGCGAGCACCTGCTGCTTCGTTGCCGGGTCGTTGGGCGGTCTGTTCACCTGACCGTTCGTCGTCGAGGAATCCACGCTCCTCGACGCGCCCTTCCCCTTCTCCTCGTCGCTCGTGGAGCTCCGTTTCTGCAACTCGCATCTCTTCCGCGTGTTCTTCGCCGGGTTACTTTCTCGAGGCACGCTCCGAGCAGGAAGCATCGTCGCCGGCTTGTTGTCGGGGTTGCCGCGAGGACGTCTCGCGGTCTGCCGCATGCTCAGCTTGGCGAACTGGGCGCCTTTGCTGCGAGCGTCGTTGGAGGCCTTGCTCATCAGCATGTGCTTGCGCGTCGCGCCGCCGCCGAGGTTCGACTTGGGCGTGTCCCGGAACTTGGCGATCATGCGCTGCCGCTTCTCCTCCAGCTGGGCGATCAGCTTGTTGTACGCGGACGTGGTGGAGGCGTGCGGCTCGGCCGGGCCGACGAGCTCCGCGACGACGGCACGCGACGAGTCCGGCCGGATGCAACGCACGCTCGTCACCTTCGGCTTCGAGCGGCCACGGTTCGCCGTCTTGGTCTCCTTCGACTGCTTCTCGTCCTCCGTGATGATCGCCGAGATCTTCGTCGAGAGGTTCGTCAGGTTCTCGACGCCGCTCTTCGAGCTGCTCGGGGTCTCCGAGATGTCCGCCTCGTTCAACAGGGCTTCGTCCTTCGCGGGCGTCTCCAGCGGCGCGGCCTGCAGCTGCTCGTTGGTCTTCTCGATAGCGAACACCTTCTTCGGCGAGGACTCCTCCTCGATCGCGGGCTCGACGTCCGGGTGGTTGCTATCGTCGTCGGCGCCGTGCGTGGCCGCCGACGCGTGCGCGGTCTTCGTCGGCGAGAGGCTGTTCTTGCCGGCCGAAGAGCACGACGACGAGGACGACGAGGAGCCCGTGGTGGAGGTGGACGACGACGACGAGGAGTCGGACGAGGACGAGATGTCGGACGTCGACGAGCTGGCGCTCTCGTAGTTGCCGTCCACCTCGACCGTGGCGGCTTCACGCTGGCGGTGTTCGTCGCTCGCATCCGGAAGCCCGTCGATCCGACCCACCTGGCGCTCCTCCACCGCGACGACGGAGGCGGAGGAGGCGCCGAGCTCCGAGTCCTTGGTGCTGTTCGACGCGATCTTCAACTCCTTGATCGCCTCCTCCTTCGGCAGGTTCTCCTTGATCACCTCGAACTGCGTGATCTCCAGCTTGGTGGTGGTCGTGCAGCTGGAGGTCTGGTAAGACGCCCCGCTGGAGGCGAGGCTGCTGTGCGTCGAGTGCAGTTTGATGTGGGACGACGAGACCACCGGCGACTCCAGGCTGACGGCGGGGACGCTCTTGAACTTGGACATACCGCCGCCCTCGGCCGCCGTCTGCTCGCAGGTGGGCTTGTAATACGGCGAGCTGTACTCGTTCTTCTTCACGACGTCCCTGGTCGTCTCCTCCGTGTGCTTCGGCGTCAACGCTATGCACGGGGTGATCGGGAACTCGGGCGTGCTGATGAAGCTGCCGCGCAGTCTGCCGGAGTCGTCGCTGAGCTTGATGAACGGCGTCACGGCGTTGTTGCCGGGGCTGAGCATCCTCGGCGTAGGCGGCGGTACGGACGTGCCGTCGTTGTTGAACTTCCTCGGGGTCTCCACGTCGATCGTGTCCGGCACCCGGAGCATGCGCTGCGCGCTGCTGGCGGACAGAATCCTCGACAGCTCGGACATCTGCGAGCTGCTGCTCGTCGTCGTCTGGCCCGCGTCCTCCGCGTTCTTCCTCTTGCCGCCCTCGACGTTGTCAGGCTTCTTCAGGTTGGTCCTGATCGTTTTCAGCTGCACGTACTTCTTCACGGGCTTCTTCTCGGCTACCGCTGCCTGGTTACCGTCCGTCTTCGCGGACGCCTCGACGGGGACATCGACTGGCCTCGAAGAAACCTTATCAGACCTGCTCGTAGACAGCTCGTTCACGACGCCGGGATTCTTCTCCGTGCACGCGGTCTTCGCACCTTCCTGGAGATGCTCACGCGACTCCTTGGCGTCTTCCGTCTCCTGAGTCGTCTCGCAGCTCCTCCTCTTGTCCCTGCTCTTCGTCGTCGACTGCTGATTGTGCTTGCTCCGCTTGTGCGTCGCGTTATTCTCCTCCTTGTTGGAGTGCCTCCTCTTCGTGGGTCTCTTCACCTCGGCCTCGTCTTTCTTGCTCGACTGCAGGCCCTTCCGTAGGTCGGCGTCCCAACTTTCCGTCGGCGTCCTCGACGTTTTCTGCTGAACCCTGTCCTCGGAGGAGGAGGACGCGCTGGTGCTGCCGTGCGAGGACACGTCGCCGATAATCACGCCGACCCCGTTGAACTTGTCCCAGCCGCCCATCAGCTTGGGCGCCGGGCTCCTGGTGGCTATCGGGATCTTGTAAGACTGGCAAACCTTCACCGGGCTCTGCTGCTGAGCGGTGGTAGCCGGGGAGCCGGAGAACGGCGGTGACTTGAACAACGACGTCCTGCAGACGGACTTGAGGCGCTTCGTCGCCGCGGCCGAGAACTGAGCCGTCGTCTCGCTCGCCTTCCTGGCGGAGCTGATCACCTTCGGCGGGGTGCTGAAGTCGAGTGCTCTTATGTGGCTGTTTCGTTTGCGCGGCGTCGACAGGCTCAGTTTGCGGTTCTTGGAGCGGCTCTTCAACAGGGATTTGGGAGTGCGCTTGACGATGATGTCTGTGGGGACCGTCGGCTCCGCTGCGCCGGTGCCGTCGATCGTCGTCGTCGTCGTCGTCGTTGTCGTCGTCGTGGTGGCGGTGGTGACGATGGTGCACTTGGCACTCTCTATCATGGACGTGAGGTCGATGTCCGAGAGATTGTGGCTCTGGCCGGTCTTGCTGCAGTTGAACTTCAGGTACGGCGAGAGGCCGCTCTCCGACAGACTGATGTTCTCCTCCAGACTGATCGTCGGCATATTGGCGCTGTCCAAGGACGTTTTCGCGCTGCTCTCGTTGTTGCCGTAGAGGGTGATCACCTGAGACTCGCCGGCCGCGTGCTTACCGATCGTCTGCGCGGCTTCCTGAGCCGCCGGCCGTTGCTCGATGATCACGGGCGTCAGCGTTGCGTCCACCTTGTTCACGGTTTTCACCGTCTTGCTCACCTTGCTGGTCCTCCTCTGGGAAGACGGGGCTTGACTCGCGACCGGATCAGCCGGCTCCCCCACCGCAACGATCGGCAGTTTCTGCGCCAGGTTCACCGTTCTCAGGTACATGGTTTCCACGGGAGCGGCGATCCTGTTCGGGTCTTTCGGCGCGATCGGGATGAAGCGGGATGCGGAGGTCGACCTGATGGTCGACGAGTGATTCACGCTCAGCAGGTTACTTATCTCTTCCTTCGAGCACACGACCAACGTAGGCGTGACGTTTGTCACATCCTGCTTCGCCACGACCTGATCGTCGTTGGCCGCCTGATCGCGCTTCGGTCTCGTCGGCCTCGGCCGTTTCACCGTCGACTTCCTGATTTTCGGCTCCGCATTGCCGCCCGCGGACGGCGCGACGTTGCTCGCCCTTTGAATGTTCGTCGATGTCAAGGGCTTCGTCGTCGCGTCCTCTTTGCTCATCGCGACGGCGGCCGTCAATGCAGTATGAACGACCTTGCTCTCCGTAACTTCACCTGCGGCGACCGTCGGTTCTTTCGCGTCGTCGAGAGTTTTCTTCTCATTGGACGTGTTATTCGTGATATTGACATTTACGATACTTAATACCGCAGCCGCATTCTGATCCTCCAGAGTATTCTGTTCCTTATCCTGATCTTTCGCTTTCTCCGCCTCGTCCTCGGTTCTGACATTTTGCTGCCTGGAAGAGCTGCGTAGTCTGTGCTTCAGCGGCACTTCCGCCGCACTGTTCTCCGCGGATGCTCTCGTGGTGTCTACTATCGTTGGCTCCGGCGAGCTGATGCTGCCAAAGGCGGCTTCCGCGTGTTTCTCCGCCGCTCTGGAAGTATCAAGATATCGCGAGATGAGGAGATCGGCACTCAACTTTGTAACAAGAGAGGGAAGGGGTGAGAGAGAGAGAAAGAGAGATGAAAAGTGAATGATGAACGTATTCAACGTATTACTGATTTTTAAGAATGACAGCTTATAAATTAAATAAGCCAATTCCGTACTATTGTCATAACTGTCAACGTATATCATCACAATCTCTTTATCTTTGAGGAGGCAAATTCTAAATTAATTAATTAACTCTAATTCATTTGCCAATTTGTTCAGAGTCACAGAACATCATATGCTAATTTTATTTCTATAAATAAATTATCCTTGTAGTTTAGCCGATAAATTTTCCTCAACATTAAATCTCTTTAGTGATGCACCATCGTTTTCAAGAACTCGCATTTACATATTCTATCACTGAAACGTGAATAAGTTACTTTTTAAATTACAACCTTGATTTTTATTTAATTATTCTTATTATTCTGACTAAATTACCACTTACGTATTTTTTTTTTCTTACTTCATTTATTCGTCAGTTTTAATTTGATCTGTTCCTTGCTCACTCATGCTTTCATTAATATCATTAATATTTGCCTTACTACTGTTTTTTTTCTTTTTATTCTTTAATGACTCGCCGCTGTATTATTATGTATTTATTCTTTTTCACGTATCGCTCTTTATAACTTATATATTTTTTCTTCTTCTGTAAAATCGGTTTGTATCATCTAATAACTAAAGAGTGTGCCCGTTAAAAAAAATGATGATTCGAGTTGAAAAAGTACATGCACTCACTCGTTGAGGAACTTCGGACTGTGCTTTCCTTCACCATCCTCTTCGGGACTGGTATCGGTCTCTGTATGTGGCCCGATGATCTCATCGAGAAACTTCTCGAACACGGGATCGGTCTCCGTCGCTTCAACAATCGACTTAATAGCATTATTCAACTCGGCCATAATAGAAGTGTTCCCTTCGCCGCTGACCGACTCGTGGAAACTCTCATCCCTCAGAGATACGTCCGTAGGAATGATTGCTCTATTGATATTTTCGGCAATACATTCTTGTAACTCTGTACGATTCAAGATTTCTTTCGTTAATATCTGGAAATGTATACGAGTGGACACTTAATAACAACAATGCTCGTTAGAATCTTTGTGTGGGTGGCATGGAAAATTTCTTCACAAGATGCTACGCGCCATCGCGTGAGAAACGCTAAATGAATAATGTAAACGCATAGCGATAGCGAAAAGCCGATATTTATCCAGGGACTTACGCTGAGATTCTCGATGGGCTCGTCGTTCGATTCAGATTCCGATTCCGGTATCTCGTAAGGATTGGTCTGCACCTCCGTACTGGAGAATCTCAACAGCTCCTCCGTATTTGTCGCGGCTGTGCATCGTTTGAGTGACGGTGTGCTCGTCGTGATGCTGATATCCTCCCTCCTTTTACCATCGATATTAGCTTCGAATTGTCGTGTACTCCACATCCCGTCGTCTGTGCGAACAGAAAGAGATAGAGAGAGCAAGAAGTCAACCTTAGACATCTTGATTGACGGCACCGAATTCCTCAGGAGAATCAAAGGATCGCTTTCGAATTGGTCGGATGAACGACGAAATTCAAGCTTGTGTAAATTTGCCAAATGTTACGGAAGTAACTTCATCTTCCAAGTCCTGTCAGATTGAACACGCTGTCGTTTGCGGCATCGGCGTGGATCAAGTTTCACAGGATTTGGAGCTCGAAACATCTCAGGACATCGTTCGACCTTATAATTTCCCGCAAAGTTACATAATGTGGGCCCATACAGCGCAGAAGCTCGTAGCAATATCGCAAGCTTCTGTGCTGTAAAATAGAGATATCTCGTTATTCTCCCGGCCGACTCCAAGCGATGCTTTAATTTCGAGAGAAGCCTGTTTGTGCTATTACTTTTCTCGAAGTCATATTGACTGGGCGATCCTTGCGCAACGTTGTCGTCGCTTCTCTCAATCCTATCGTTCACAGATTCCGTCTGCCTGAACGAGCTGACATTCCCGGGCAGACTCTCTAACGGGGTTGTGTCGACATTGTGAGGAATCGCTGAATCGAGATACATGAGATTAAAGTTTTACAACAAACGGACACGAGAGAGAAGAGACAAACACGACATACGTGAGGTCGTTACGATGTCCCCATTCGGTTGCGCCGCATTCGATTGGGGTTTGGCGGTGCGTTTGTTCCGCTCGCTGTTACTATGACGCCTTCTACGCATGCTATTTGCGATAATAGGCGAGCCGTTCGATGCTTGCGTGTTACTCTAGAAAACGTCGAGCCATGTTTGATTGTAAATCGCAGCGAAAACTTTCACATTCAGCTCTCACGTGCATCAGCAGAAAAGATTTCAGATACACATCGACCGAGTTAAATAAGTTAGGACAACAAAATACCTGAGAAGGTACATTAATGTTTACGACAAATCGCTGGCCACGCGGCTCTTCCACGAGGAATTTCAGCTGCTCTATTAGATCCCCACAATGCTTCAACTGCTCGCAATCTGTCGCTTTGTTTAACCGTTCCTGAACTACAGAAAACAGTGGCTTGTTTAGGAAACACGCAATCAAAAGACAGACATGTGAATTCTACTGTATTGAATCTATTCGTACGTCGTGTCAAACTCTTTGCATTTGTCGTAGCCGCTTTACTAACATTTAACCCTTACACAACATTTAACCCTTTGCACTCCAGTGGTGACTTTCACCATGTGGTGCCATTTTCGCACCGTGCGAAAAAGGTCCGGAGTGCAAAGGGTTAATTAGTGCTATTATCAGTAGTACAGCCAAACGAAGTAACTCACTCATAGTGCTGATGGCAGAGAACTTCTCAATGATATCCATCAGCGTTAAACCGTTAACTTTGGTACTGAACCTCTTTCCATGAGCAACCACTGTCCGACATTCTTGTAAGTGCGGAGATGATTCCAAAAACTGCTTGGCTGCTTCTGTACACTGCTGGTCCTCCAAATAACCTAGGACCAGCAAATGTACGATATAGGTAACTCAAACATTGATAACATCGATTTCTTACATAATAACGACATAGCTTCTGCTATCAAGCAACAATGCAGACAAAACAAAGATGAAAAAGGCATCTCCGAGGAATACGGATGACAAAGAAGTGGATGTACATGAAACTTTATTAGTGGAAACTTGATTCATTTATGATCGACAAGTTAGATTCAGCTCAGAAGAACGTCGAATGGTCTTGTGACACGGATTGATCGCTGCGTCGAGCGAACAGGTGCATGTAAACAAGGGGTTGACATGCCAACGAAAGAGGTTACGGTACGAGTGTTTTCTCATCGACGAGCGTAACGATTCGATCAGGTTGATCACTCACCGAGCACCAGTCGAGCTATTTCGGATGGCAATAGTGCTTCCATGGTTGCCTTCTGGTGTCGCGTAATTTTCCAAGACACTTCATTGGGAGACCCGTCCGTCGTGATGCGAAAGCGACACTTTGACGACACCAAGCTACTGCGTCTCGACAGCAATAAACATTTGTAGTGTTGCCAACGTGCACGGGGAGTTTCTTTGTTTACATATTCGACTCGGACCGTTTCGAAAAAGACGCTTCACTTTGTTCACCTCGGCACACCTGAGACGAAACGGAACCATTTTGTAAGAACGCTGTTATTATTAATTAATTAATAGCACGCATTGTTAAATATACCGATCATTCTCGCGACGCTGTCGCGCCGGCCGTTGGCATACGTTAGATGTGGGAAATAATTCACGAGGTTCCCGAGGGTAAACGCGGGTAGACCGATGCTCTATCACAACACGAGGGGGTAACATCGGGAACAATGTGTCGTTTTTTGAACTTACGTTTCGCGGTTATATTGGAATTTCCCGCCAACCAATTTGTCGCCGTCATTTCATTGTCCGGAGATGCTTAGGGACTTTAGGTATTCTCCAGCAGACAGCCAATCGGATGTCGATTGCGCTTGACACTAGAAACTTGCATAAAGATACGTTCGATTCGTCGTTGAGTCTTCCAATAGGAGAATAAGTTTTTTAGCGACAAATATATCAATGGATGCAAAAGGAAAAATACGTCACAATAGAGATTGAATACTAGCAAACTCCAAATTCTACCTTATAAATACAACAATATCTGCATTTTCAAATATATAATGCTATTATAATATTTCATATTAACACTGATTTGTTAACTGCAATCGTCATTAGTAGTTTTCCTCTTTTTTTTCATCCCGCCTTATTTCTCCTATCAACGCGCTCTTATCAGACAGACACACATTCAGGCCACTACTCTCTCATTTCAGTGTCGTCTTTAATTCCTCTCACGGGAAGCGCAGTTTATACAAATCTGTGATCATAACAATGGAACATTTCCATTCGCCGTTTTACTTATTAAGAAAATAAATTGCAATAGATGTAATAGATCCCAAATGAATACGACTTACAAACTAGTAAGAAAAAAATAAGGCATGTATAATAATACAAAACAATGACCATTCAAAGCGAGATAAAAATCGTAATAATTCAGTATTAGTTTAATCATTAGATATTGACTTTGATTTCTTTTTCTTTTTCGGCACATCCGTCTGTTCAGTGTCACCGTTTTTGATGTACTCGTCGTCCCTTTTGCCGTTCTCCAGTACGTCGTTTTTCCTCTTCTTATCTTTCTTCTTCTTCTTAGGAGACTCCTCGTTATCCTGTTCCACAGAGACCAATGATTCCTTCAAGGCCTCTTTCATTACGTCGATGTTCTTCTGCGGTATCTCTCCTGTTTCGAAAAATTTCAATCGGTCCTCTACTTGCTGTCTCAATTTTTCACCAAACACATTAGTCGGCACATCTAAGAAACAGTCAAGCCTGGAAGCCATTGAGCACTTGTTAGCCAGATATCTCGATATTCTACCCTTGTCTCTGGCATTAGCGCGACCAATAAACGTAGAATTAAAAAGTAAGCCAAACTTGGGCGTGTTCCCTCTAGTCTTCAACGCACGGAATAACGCCTTCTCTGCCCCCAAAATCTGGACAGTCGACGCTGGGAATTTGGCCAGGTTAGTTAGCGATCCGGCATGCGCTATCAATCTAGCGCCGGTTTGGTCACCGATCAAAGAGGCGAGGTTCGGCGCCACTCCCGACATCTTGCTTCTCAGATACTGTGCCAGGCGCTCCCGGTAATCACCCAGGGAGATAACGCGATCGGCGAATATTTCGATGTTCATGAGATCAACCATATTAATGTCCATCCCCATAGAAGACTTGGACGCATCGACGATTGCCTGCGCCACCGCACTGTCCATAACTGTTTCTTCGAGAGCCTCCAGCTTTTCCTCTGGAAGTTCCTTCCTGTTTTTCAGTATCTTAGTCACTTTGGCGTACATGTGATTATCCGGAATTATTTTTATCAGCTCTGGGAAGTGATAGCCGTACCATTCTCTGAAATGGAAACAAAGAAACAAAGTTATTACCGAGATTTCTACTTATTATCCGAGCATACTCGTGGAGAAATTCCATCATATAATATTTCTTCATATAAATTTCGTTGGTCTAACATTTGGTAAAATTAAGAACTAAATTTGGAAGTATAATTACGAAAAGATTTGAAATTTTACAGAATTTCTTCATCTGTGAATTAAATGGAAGAAATATTTTACATACCGTATACGCATACTGAATGTGTTAATGTCCTTGTCTAATTGGTCCATTAAGCCTATGGTATGGATGATCATATTATCTACTCTATGGATATTGAATTTAACTTTTGCCCTGGAATAACTATGCCCGAGACCCAGTTGCGCGATTGATGCACTTTCAGCAGTCAAGCCTTGAACCAGGTGATGGAAATGTTGTCTGATGCCACGTATAATTTCAGGAATGCCATTGACGTGATCGCACTTTATGCCTAGAGCTTCGGTGATGTTAGCGCCAAGTTTAGGATCCGAGACACCAAGAACAACATTCTTTTCTGACTTTGGTACGCAGGAGTCCAAAAATATTTGTAACTGTGGCGGAACGACACCTTCGGAGATACAGTTAATATTCTCCAGTGCTACTACCGCAGTCTTGAAGGCTGAGAAACCAACGAGACTGACGATAGAACGAAAACGCGACAAGTCTGTCACGGAAGCTTCCACCTGTGGCAACAGCATTCCAATCTCTTCGAACTCCTTGACACGGAACACAGCGTATCCGGAGGCATGTTCGAACAAAATGAATAGCTTCTTCTGCAAAAATTACAAAAAAAACATCTTTTAAATCTCCAAGTATATATAAGAGTATTGGAAGAGATATGAATATTGTCGACCAATTCAACGAAAGCACGTGATGATACTTGTGCACCATCTTTGCGAAATAGCCGCATGTTGAGTGTCGATATATCGAAGTATAATTTAAGAGAAAAAAAATTGCGTAATTCTAATTAAGAATATCCGGTATGTACCATTCTCGCTTTCTCAAAATTTCAAGATTTCAACGAAATTCTTGCAATATTTCAACAGCCACACAAATTATTGGTTTTGTCGATACGTAGCACACCATGTGCCGATATACTAATGGAGGAGAAGTTCAGATGAGCGTCTATATTTCCTACAACTACAACCACGGCTTCCCTCACGCAGGATTCACACTGTATTCGACATCTGAGGATCCGATATTCTAATAGGACATTGCCTTTTCAGGATTCCCTAGCTAGTGACGTTCTTGTCTCTAAGAAACGTATTCTTCTATTGGATGTACTCCTATTGGAAGACTCAACGACGAATCGAATAACGTATCGTTATTCAAGTTTCTAGTGTTAAGCGCAATCGACATCCGATTGGCTGTCTGCTGGAGAATATCTAAAGTCCCTAAGCACTTCCGGACAATGAAATGACGGTGATAAATTGGTTGGCGGGAAATTCCATGCGTGATTTTTCGAACTTACGTTTCGCGATTATATTGGAATTTCGCGCTAACGAAATTGTCGCCGTCATTTCATTGTCCAGAGGTGTCTAGGGACTTTAGGTATTCTCCAGCAAACAGCCAATCGGATGTCGTTTGCGCTTAACACTAGAAACTTGAATAAAGATACGTTCGATCGTCGTTGAGTCTTCCAATAGAAGTACATCCAATAGAAGAATACGTTTTTTTGAGACAAGAATGTCACTAGCTAGGAAATCCTGAAAAGTGAATCTCCTATTGGAATATCGGATGCTCGGATGTCGACGCAGTTGGTCTCTTCTTTTCCGCTGCACCGCTGAACTAGTGGATTAAGTTGAAGAAAGAAAACATATACTTGTCTCGCATCAATTTATTAACCTTGTTCAGCGGTGCAGCGAAAACGAACAGACCTAGTATGAATCGTGCATAAGGGAGGCCGTGGTTGTAGGTATAGGAAATATAGACGCTCATCTGTACTTCTCCTCCATTAGTATATCCGCACATGGTGTGTTACGCATCAAACAAACCATAGAGTTGTGTGGCTGTTGCTGTGTCGCAAGAGTTGCGTTGAAATCTTGAAATTTTGTGAAAGCGAGAATGGTATACACCGGATATTCTTAATTAGAATTACGCAATTTTTTTACTTAAATTATACTTCGTTATATCGATACTCAACATGCGGCTATTTCGCAAAGATGGTGCACCAGTATCATCACATGCGTTTGTTGAATCGGTGTATCAACAATATTCATATCTCTTCCAATACTCTTACATATACTTGGAGATTTAATATATGTTTTTTTTCGCTTTTTTGCAGAAGAAACTATTCATTTTCTTCCAACATGCCTCCGGATACGCTGTGTTCCGTGTCAAGGAGTTCGAGGAAGTTGGGATGCTGTTGCCCCAGGTGGAAGCTTCTGTAACGGACTTGTCGCGTTTTCGCTCTATCGTCAGTCTCATTGGTTTCGCACCCTTCAAGACCGCGGAAGTGGCACTGGAGAATATTAACTATATCTCCGAAGGTGTCGTTCCACCACAGTTGCAAATATTTTTGGACTCCTGTGTACCAAAGTCAGAGAAGAATGTTGTTCTTGGTGTCTCGGATCCTAAACTTGGCGCTAATATCACCGAAGCTCTAGGCATAAAGTGCGATCACGTCAATGGCATTCCTGAAATTATACGCGGTATCAAATTGCATTTCCGTCACCTGGTTCGAAGCTTTAATGCTAAAAGTACATTGGTCAATCAACTAGGTCTCAGGCATAGTTATTCCAGGGCAAAAGTTGAATTCAATGCCCACAGAGTAAATATGATCATCCATACCATAGGCTTAATGGACCAATTAGACAAGGACATTAACACATCCAGTATACCTCTACGGTATGTAAAATATTTCTTCCATTTAATCCACAGTTGCAGAAATTTTGTGAAATTTAAAATCTTTTCACAGTTATACTTCCTAATTTAGTTCTTAATTTTACCAAATGTTAGTCCAATGGAATTTATGGGAAGATATGTTATTTGATGGAATTTCTCCACAAGTACGCTCGGATAATAAATAGAACTCTCGGTTATAACTTTCTCTTTGTTTCCATTTCAGAGAATGGTACGGCTATCACTTCCCGGAGCTGATAAAAATAATTCCGGATAATCACATGTACGCCAAAGTGACTAAGATACTGAAAAACAGGAAGAAACTTCCGAAGGAAAAGCTGAAGGCTCTCGAAGAAGTTGTCATGGACAGTGCGGTGGTGCAGGCAATCGTCGATGCGTCCAAGTCTTCTATGGGGATGGACATTAATATGGTTAATCTCATGGACATCGAAATATTCGCCGATCGCGTTATCTCCATGTGCGATTACCGGGAGCACCTGGCACAGTATCTGAGAAGCAAGATGTCGGGAGTGGCGCCGAACCTTGCCTCTTTGATCGGCGACCAAATCGGCGCTAGATTAATAGCGCATGCCGGATCGCTGACTAACCTGGCCAAATTCCCAGCGTCGACTGTCCAGCTTTTGGGGGCAGAGAAGGCGTTATTCCGTGCGTTGAAGACTAGAGGGAACACGCCCAAGTTTGGCTTGCTTTTTAATTCTACGTTTATTGGTCGCGCTAATGCCAGAGACAAGGGTAGAATATCGAGATATCTGGCTAACAAGTGCTCAATAGCTTCCAGGCTTGACTGTTTCTTAGATACGCCGACTAATGTGTTTGGTGAAAAATTGAGACAGCAAGTAGAGGACCGATTGAAATTTTTCGAGAGAGGAAAGATACGGCAGAAGAACATCGACGTAATGAAAGAGTCCTTGAAGGAATCACTGGTCTCTTTGGAGCAGGATAACGAGGAGTCTCCTAAGAAGAAGAAGAAAGATAAGAAGAGGAAAAACGACGTACTGGAGAACGGCAAAACGGACGAGTACGTCAAAAACGGTGACACTGAACAGACGGATGTGCCGAAAAAGAAAAAGAAATCAAAGTCAATATCTAATGATTGAACTGAATTATTACGATTTTTACCTCGCTTTGAACGGTCATTGTTGTGTATTATTACACATGCCTTATTTTTTTCTTACTAGTTTGGAACTTGTATTCATTTGGGATCAGTAATATACGGTACATGTATTGCAATTTATTTTCTTAATAAATAAAGCGGCGAATGGAAATATTCCATTGTTATGGTCACAGATTTGTATAAACTGCGCTTGCCGTGAGAGGAATTAAAGACGACATTGAAATGAGAGAGCAGTAGCCTGAATGAGCGTGTCTGTCTAATAGGAGCGCGTTGATAGGAGAAATAAAGGGGGAAGAAAAGGAGGGAAGCTGTACTAATGACGATTGCAGTTAACAAATTAGGGTTAATATGAAATATTGTAATAGCATTAAATATTTGAAAATGGAGATATTGTATGATAATGTATGTATAAGGTGGTATTTGGAATTTGTTAGTATTCAATCTCTGTTCTGACGTATTTTTCCCCTTGCAGTCGTCTTCACCCTTCTCTTAACAAAGAGCGAGAGAGAGAGGGTGAGTGAAAGAATATCACTTATGCGATATCCGTGTCTTTCTATGCAGTAACTTCAGCCCGCCCATGAATCCTGTATCAAACAACGAATTGGGGATTGAGATTGAATTGAATTTGGCCAATCGGCGCAAAGTTGATTGAACTCAAGTTTAGTGGAATTTAGTGAATTTTGCTCCGATTGGTCGAATTTCAATTTTATCTCAATCTATAACTCGTAGTCCGATACAAGCTGAAGGACGTGCAGTCTATCTATGGTTTTTTTCCAAGGAGGCGCAGAAATACCCAAATTTACTTCATGGGCTAAATATCATCTTCAGATATTTTAAGATGGTATGTAACCAATAAAACGACTTTGTATCTCTGTGTTTCTTGCTGGAAAGCATCATATATAAATCTATGGTTGAGGCTCGGCTCTCTCCGTTAGCCATATTGGTTTGGTGATGTAGGCGAGAAATGATAAGCGGTAAGTTTTCTGCAACTTGTAGCTTCATTTTTCAATTTTCCCTGAAAAACAATGATTTCGTAATCTCGAAACTTGTAAAACGTGCAGAAAACTGAGATATCTGGCCGATGTGTCACATAGAATCGCGAAGTAATTCTTGAGATAACAGGTTATTTTTCACCCATCTCAGCTATCATAACCGTCCGCGAGAATTATAAGTTGATTATTATTTAAGACAGGTAATATTAAAGGCCATTGGCCGTAGGGGATTTAGTTTGCGTGAAAATTTCGCTATTCAATAACCTTCAATTAACAAATTTGTCGGTTAATCTGTGTCAAAAGAGCGTAGATAACTGCAAAAATGTCGTTTCACAAAAATATTCGATGTACTTCATTGTAGATCCGTATACGTATCGATAGAACATCGCGGTAACTGTAAATTATAAAACCGATACTAAGTATGCCATAAATATCCAGGTATTTGTATCGAATGACTAAAAATATTCATCCTTTCTCAATTATCTCCGGGCCCTTCGGGGCGCGCACGAAAATCTGCCGAGGTCTGACGACCTTCAGCATCATCTTGTCGGTGCACAAAAAACGACTCTAAGTGCAATACCGACAAAGTTGGTAATAACGTACGATATGGTCGATAATCACACGAGGTGTTATCGAACGCGCGTCAACTGGAAGCGCGAGATGCGGCCAATCGTTCAGAGATGGCGCCACGAGCAGGCGAGTGACGCAGCCATGTTTGAGGCACTCTCGTGTTCATTTCCACTTCCGTTTCTTCGTGATTTCGTCGCGATCGATATCGGAAAAGGCGCACGTTCGCGAAACGTTCCTTTTCCCCCGCGTGTCGGCAACGCGGTCGACGACGGCGAGCCGATCGCCGTGCGAATGAAGAAACGCGCCCGGAGAATATTTCATGTCGCGTCCCGCGAGGTAAGGAACTGTTATTCTTTTTCCTTATTTCGGAACTCGACGCGAAAGAGAGAGAGAGAGAGAGAGAGAGAGAGAAGGAAGGAAGGATCCCGTGGCGAATGCGATGCGATGATACGAGTCAAAATGTTAAAGCACGTCTCCCCTTCCTCGTCTAGGCGCTTGCCTCTTCCCCCCACATTTTTTCGTGCCATCCCCTACGTTCCCAGCGCGCCTATTATTCTCCTTTCTTTTTCCGTGAAGACGGACGCGACGTATTTGTCGGCAGATACAGCGGGTCTTCCATCCACCGTCCT